TTTTTTTCTCTCTTCTCTAAAATTTGTATTCTTGGCCTTGGGCTTGAGCTGAGTAATACAGTACTAGCCTAGCATGCACAAGGCCCTGGATTCAATCCCTAGCATTAAAAAATAAAAAAACAAAAAAACTATTGTTGAAATTGTTTTAAAAATTCCCTCTCCACCCCTAGATCCTAGCAATAGTCCCTTATATACTCTTTACTAGAACCTCATAGTTTATCTTCATATTTAAGATCTTTTTTTTTTCCAGTACTGAACCCAGGACCCTCACACTGAGCTACATCCTCAGCTCTTTTTCTTATTTTTTATTTTGAGATGGGGGTCTCACTAAGTAATTGAGTTGCCTGGGCTTGGTTCAAATTTGCAATCCTCCTGCCTCAGCCTCCAGAGAGTGCTGGGCTTACAGGCATGCACCACTGTGCCTGGTTTAAGTCTTTAATGTCTTTGTGCTGTTCCGTAAGGACCCAACCCCCCCTGCCATATACTAAGCCTGTTTCCCCAGTAGTGCTTGCTCTGCCCATAGAATGGTGCCACCTTTGTCATGTAGGAAGTCCCCATGCATGCCTAGGTCTGTCCCTGACAGTGTTCTGCTCCATGGTCAACTCTGTCCTTCTACCACCACTACACTGTTCCTGCTGGGGATTTTTGTTTGTTTGTTTTTGGTCTTTTTTGAGACAGGGTCTTGCTATGCAGTTCAGGCTGGCCTGGAGCTCACTTTGTAGCCCAGGCTCGAACTCGAAATGATCCTCCTGCCTCAGCCTCCCGAGTGCTAGGATTACAGGCATGCGCCACCACGCCTGGCTACACTGTCCCTGCTGTTGTAGCGCATCCATGTGAGGGGAAGGACCTCAAGGGACACGAAGGACGCCACGTCTAATTATAGCAGAGGAGGTGCACATCACCCAAGGCCTACAGAGGGTGAGGGAAGGAACAGCTGTGGGACAAGAAGGCAGAGAAGGTTGTGAGGAGACAGCACTGTGGGCTGAGCCCTTCCTTTGAGGGACACAGCAGTCCCTTGGGAGGGACCCAGGAGGATTAATACTCGGAACTTGGGTTTTACTCCTTCCTCCCCAGGGTATAGGAGACCCACCCATACAGGTCACACAAACTTAGAGACCCTAGAACTCTGCTCTGAAGGCAAGTGTGTGGTCTGCACTGGGACTAGCGTCCTGTTCCCCACAAACATTAGGGTCAGGCTCGCAAACAGGTCAGCCTCCTAGAGCCCAGAGCTGGGTGGAGAATGGGAGGGGTCTGAGAGGCCAAGGGGGAGATATGAGACCCGTCCTACCTCTCCTGCACTGTCCAGCAAACCCTGAGCAGCGGCTTTAGGCAAGGCGATCAGGGAGGGCTTCCCGGAGGAGATGGTTTCTGCCTGCTTCTCGAAGGCCAGGACCGGTGTCCCATCCCTTGCTCCTCCCCTCCCAGATGGTGCTTCAAGAGGCAGCTTGTGGACCTGGTGATGGAGGGGGTGTGGCAGGAGCTGCTGGACAGCGCCCAGATTGAGATCTGCGTGGCTGACTGGTGAGTAGAGTGGCAGCCTGACCCCAAGGGACGGTGGTGGCAAGTGCTCCCTTTCCAGAGCACAAAGGCTCTTCCCCAGAGCATTTGGTCTCTTCCCGCGCCTCTGGCCCCACCCCAGGGCACCATGTTCCGCCCCTGGGCCGCGGCTTCTCGCGTGTAGCCCCGCCCCTCAATCTAGCCAATCAAAGCCTCCCAGGTTCCTCTTCCGCTTGGCTCCACCCCAGGAGAATGTTCCTCCCCCAGAAGTGCTCAGGAGCCCCCAGAGGTGGTGCAGGGGTATAGGTCCCCCATGCAGGTGCTGAAGGCTCTCGGCCACCCTCCTCCCAACTCAAGAGAGCTGGCTGGGTGGCGGGGACATCGCGTCTCACTGCCACGTGGCAGGTGGGGTGCCCGAGAGAATTGCGGCTGCGTCTACCGCCTTCGAGTGCGCCTCTTGGACGTGTACGAAAACGAAGTGGTCAAGTTCTCAGCGTCTCCCAACCCGGTCCTTCAGTGGAGAGAGAGGAGCTGCCGACAGGTGGGTCCAGACCACCTTCCACTCACCCTGACCTGCTCGGGGCACACAAGCCCACCCTGTCACCGTGCTCAGCTGCCCTTGGTGGTGGCTGTCGGTTCATAGCTAACAGTTACTGAGCACGCACTACACCAACTCCCGGGCCTGTTCCAGGATTTTTGCAGATTAATTCGTTTCCTTAGCACAACAGCCTAGCTGCTCAACAAACTATTGAGCACCAGCTGTGTGTGCAGAAAACCGCTAAAGGAGCTGAAATGCAGTGGGCACCAAATTTTTTTGCCCTACTCCATCCTAGACTTGGGGAACCTCAGGCACGGGGAAGGTGAGTGAGTGGCTGAGAGTCACACTTGAGGTATGCAGGGACCGACTCGAGCCTGTGGTCTCCCAATCATCACACTTCCAAAGTTACCTTCTACGTAGCTTCTTGCTCTCACTCCTGCCCTCTTCACCTGTGAACCCAAAACACAGAGCATCCAAAGGATCCCCCTAAAGTCTGAGTCACATCACAATACTTCTCTGCTTGTAACCATCCCTTGGCAGCCTCTCAGGGGAAGACGCGCCCATGATGCAGCCATAAAAAGGAAATAGAGGATAGGAAAATGCCGGGCGTGGTGGCACACGCCTGTAATCCTAGCACTTGGGAGGCTGAGGCAGGAGGATTGTTGCGAGTTCGAGACCAGCAGCTCAAGGCCAGCCTGAACTGCATAGGGAGACCCTGTCTCAAAAAAAAATGCAGCCATAAAAAGGAAATAGAGGATAGGAAAATGCCGGGCGTGGTGGCACACGCCTGTAATCCTAGCACTTGGGAGGCTGAGGCAGGAGGATTGTTGCGAGTTCGAGACCAGCCTGGGCTACAAAGGGAGACCCTGTCTCAAAAAAAAAAAAAAAGGAAAGAAAATGTCCACCACAACAGGCAAAGCCAGGAGACACAGTAGATTAGTGCTCAACGAGGGGCTGACAGAAGGGAGGAACTGGAATTAGTGGCCAGTGGATACAGTTTTTTCTGAGGTGATAGAAATGTTCCAGAATTAGATAGTGATGATGGTTGCATAACAGTTTAATACACTAAAAATCACTGGATTGTACACTTTGGGATAGTGACTTGTTTCATGAATTTTATCTCAATTAAAAAATTCCAAAAAAAAAAATCCAGAGTCCTCCTGTAGCCCACCAGACTCCCCACCACATGATCTGCCCATTACTTCTTTGAAGTGATCTCCTAGTTCTCCCCCCTCTGCTATAGGCATGCTCCCACCACAGGGCCTTTGCATGGCTGTTCACTGTGTGCAACACTCTTCCTCCACAGCCCCACAGGCCTCCCTCCTGTCCTTCGGATGTCTGCTCTGATGTCACCTCAGGGGGGCCCTCACTTGGTTGCTTCACTCATGTATCTGCCACCCTCCTGGCAGGATGCCCCTTGCTCCCCCACCCCACCTGCTTTCAGTGTCTGCCCCTAGGGGAAGGTCATCTTTACTGGGCAGGGGCTCCCTGTTGCTGACCTCATGCTTCACCCTTGCGCTCAGCACAGGGCCTGATGCCTATTCTGTGCCTGGGCAGTGAGTGTCTGCAAAGGCGGAAGACGAGGAGCCCACGGCCCTCACCCTCCCTCCTTTCCCCCGTAGGTCTCCCACGTATTCACCAACTTTGGCAAGGGCATCCGCTATGTGTCTTTCGAGCAGTACGGGAGAGACACACGTTCCTGGGTGGGGCACTATGGTGCCCTTGTGACCCACTCCAGCGTGAGGGTCAGGATCCGGCTTTCTTAGCTGGCCAGCCTGACCCAGCCTTTCAGGACACACTGCCATCTGCTGGATGTCATCAAAATCAAAAGTGGCATTGCAGCCCTGAGCCTGAGGATACCCAGACACTGGGAGTCCTGTGGCATCTGCATGGTGATCTCCACGCTGTGGATGAAGCAGACCCCGCCAGCCGCTTCATGGCTTGCGCAGCTCCCTGGGCCAGGGGTGGGTGTCATACGAGACAGGCTGGGCACGGTGGCACATGCCTACAATCCTAGCACTCAGAAGGCTGAGCCAGGATTGCTGAGTTCAAGGCCAGCCTGGGGTACATAGTGAGATCCTGTTCTCAAAAATAAATTTTTTTAAAAAATAGAGACATTTAGTTTGTGTGCTGTTCCCTCACAGGTAGATGTCAGTAGATACACGGAGTCAAGAAATGAAGGCCAAAACAGCCTTTATGTGCTGGGGGGAAGCCGCCAGTCAGGGAAGGGTGACCCTTGTCCACATTTTTGGAGTAAGGGGGCCATTGGCAGAAGCCAGAGGTCAGTTGGGCCACCGGTCCTTGAGATCCATGGGGCCCTCGAAGGAAACCCTGTTGTTTTGGGGTCTCTGGGACTCAGCTGTGAGGTCCTGTAACCAGCCATCCCTGGGCACTGTCCAGTCCTTCCTTTGGGCCAGGTGTCTGTCGTCAGAACTCCTGAGGCCAGTGCTCACCCTCCCCTCCTGCTGGGTGACACCCTCCTTTCCCCTCACTCCTGCCCTCCTGCGTGGGGTCCTCGAGCAAGGCGCATCATGAGGGAAAGCACCCCACCCAAGAGTGCCGGGGTGCTGCCCAACAGGGCCTGGCTAACCAGCTGGCTCAATCAAATTGGTGTTAAGTGTGAGGTACTTTTTGTCTTCACTCTGGACTTGAGGCTCCAGAACTGACAATCGCAAGAGCCTCAAAAGGCTGCATGCCAGGTGCCTCTGTCCCCGGGAGAGCTTCCAGAACCAAGGACGCCTGTGATGCACCCAGCAAGAGGTCCCCAGTGGTCCGCTTAACTGTTCTCAGGCAGGGGCACTCATCAATACCCTGTGGTCCAGGCATACCCAGCTTCGTTTGCTTGTTTTTGTTTTTTGAGACAGGACGCCACTGTGTAGTCCAGGAAGGTCTTGAACTCCTGATCCTCTCCCCTTAGCCTCAAGTGCTACAATTACCTGTGTGTGCCGCTATACCCAGGTTAGGGTCAGGACTTCAATGATCTGCTCCAAGTCACCAGGCCAGTAAGCAGGGGAGGTGGGGCTTGGGCCACAGTTGGGCTCCAGAGCCCGATGACAGAACCATAACTTCCACAACCTAAAAGCAAATGTGGCCAAGCTTGTGATCACACAATTCTGATGGTCAGAATTCTCCCCAGTGCCATTTCCAAGGGGAGGAAATAGAGGCCCCAAGCAGGGAACCACTACAGCCAGCTCACAAGACCGTTCAGGGTGCAGCCAGCACTTGAACTGTGTGTCAGATAATGTCAAAGAACACCTCTCAGGCTTGAAGCACCCCATTTAACCCTTTCAATACCAACAATACAATTACTGCCCTTCCCCAGATGACCACACCCAGAGGGCAGCGGCTCAGCGATGCTTTATCAGTGCTGCCAGCAGGCTGCAGAGCTTAGACCCCAGCAGCCCACACAGGCACTGTGCACAGGGCTGTAATCTAACCTTCACCAAGCAACAGAGCCATCAGGGCGTGCCTGGTGGCACACACCTGTAATCCTAGCACTCGGGAGGCTGAGGCAGGAGGATCACTGCAGGTTCGAGGCCAGCTTGGGTACAAAGTGAGCTCAAAGCCAATCTGAACTTCATAGCAAGACCCTGTCTCAAAATGACAAAAAAAACAAAACAGAGGCACTGCAGATGGAGCCACTTTCTGGATGAGAACACTGAGGCCATGAGAGGATGGCAGTGCCACAACCACACCCAGAGGGTAGATAATGCACCAGGGAGTCACATGGCAACCATCAGGATCTGTGTGTTTATTACAACCCCTTCCCAGCCAACAGCAGCCCAGCATCCTGTCCTGGCAGAAGAAGCCCCTCATGCCAGCAGTGACCTCTGACCCCAAGAGTACTAACGGGAGGACCTTTTTCTGATCCACCCCCAGAACCCATATGAGCTGGTGGGGGTCCTGATGGAAGAGGCGGGGCTCAGGATTGCTGCATGGACAGCAAGAACAGCTAGTTTCTGAGGACCTGTCAGAGGCAAGAGCCGGGAGCCGGAGAGCAAGGTTCTTTTTCTGTAGGGAGCCCGGGCCACTGCACCCACCGGTCACTTCTTCTTCTGCACATGTCCACAGTCGTACTTGCCCCGAACAACTTTGAGCTTGACACCAGGCAGATCCTGGGTGCGGCCACCTTCCACGAGGACCACGTGGTGCTCCTGCAGGCTGTGGCCCTCGCCGGGGATGAAGCAGACAGCCTCACGGCCGGTGCTGAGCCGCACGCGGCAGCACTTGCGGTTGGCTGAGTTGGGTTTCTTGGGCTTGCGGATGAATGTGCGCAGCACCACGCCCTTCAGCTGCGGCCGGCCCTCCGTGGGGCCAAGACGCAGGGGTGGCCGCTTGGGGGGCCCCAGGCGATGCATCTGGTTCAGGGTAGCCATGGAGCGGGGGGCCCAGAGCCTGGGAACCAGGGCCAGTCCTGGAGAGAGACGACCGGGAGGGTGGAAGGTGGTTATTATCCCAGCAAGATAATAGCATTTGCAACTCAATTTTGGTGTTCTAGGCATGGATCCAAGCACTTTAAATGACACATTTGTTTACATGCAGGGGTATTTTGGGATAAATAGTAATAGCTGCTAACATTTATTGAACAACCGCGATGTGTGGGGTTTTTTTTTAAGCCTTTTATGTAAATTAACTCACTGTAGTCTCAAAGAAAGTACTAATTTGAAAGCTGTTCAGAAATAATGAAATACAGCAGAGCGCCTGCATCATACACGCATTCAGGCCACTCCTGCGGCAGCCCTGTGGGGGTGATCCTGGAGGCTCCCCACCCCTCTCAAGCCCACAGCCAGCCTGTGAGCACATCCAATCAGGTCAGCCCCCAGCACAGCTCAGAATCCACCGCCTTCTCCCTCCACCGCTAGGCCCATCTCAGTCTGCCCTGTCCTTGTCTCATTCTGGACTGTGGCACCTCCTCCTCCTGGCTCCCAAACAGCCAGGGGAGCCCGGATACCAGAGGCAGATCATGCCCCTTCCCTGCTCAGCGCAGGGAGGTTCTTCCCCCAATCTGCCCCCCGTGAGTCCACTGACCTCGGCCCCCCACTGGCCCCTTGCTCTTGCTGTTCCGGCCTCGGGCCCCAAAAACACCACTAGGGAAGAGACCATGCTGGCTGCAGTGTAGTAAGAGGAAACCAGAGGGGCGGGATTTGTTCATAGACTGCATGTAGCTGCATGAAGATGCAAAGACAACTGGGCTCTTAGGAACATTCATCAAGCACCGACGGTGTCTAAGCCACAGTGGTGGGGACACAGCAGGGACTGAGAATACAGGGCTCTCACACCATCTTGGGCTCTGAGGTTACAGTATCACCTATCTATCCATCGCCTATCCTCTCACTGCGGCTGGAACAGATGTCCCGCCAGCTCCCCAACCTTGCACTCCCTCCATACCCAGCCCTGCTGTCCACCCCCATGTCTCCTTTTGTCTTGAGTGACAACCAAAGTCTTTTCCCCCCTTTATTTATCTATCTATTTATTTATTTATTTATTTTGGGGACAAGGTCTTACTATGTAGATCAGGCCAGCCTTGATCCCACTGTGACTTGGAACTCATGATTTCCTGCCTCAGCCTCCTGAGTGCTGGGATTCCAGGCATGAGCCACCACTCCCAGCAACAGCTGAATTCTCAAAGAAGCTGAGCCATTCTTAGAAGTGACTCTGCCTTGTACCATGCCTTTGAGCAAGGCTCTTGGCATCTGTGCCTCGTTTTGCTCACCTATATCCTGGGCTAGGATGACTGCATGATTGCATCTCCTTCCTGGGTGCCATTGGAGGCTACCATAAAAAGTACTGCATGTCTAGTGAGCCCTGGTTACTGAGGCAGGGAGCAGGCCTAGCTTGCCCACCCTGGTGATCTTTGCTAACTGATAGTGCTTAAAGATGGTTTTCAGAGCACACAAGTGAATGAAATACCTCCCTCAGGCAAGAGCCCATGAGCAGCATTTGATGTCTCAGCACAGTACAGCGCCAGGTGCAGCCACCTGTAATCCCAGCAGTCCGGGAGGTTGAAGCAGGAAAATCCCAACCTTGATCCCAACCTGGGCAACTCAGTGACCTAATCAGACACCATCTCCAATTTTTTAAAAAAGGCTAGGGATGTTCTTCAGTGCTGAGGCCTTGGCTTCAATCCCAGTAACAGAAAGAAAACATATAGCTGGGGATATAGCTCAGTGGCATAAGTGTCTGCCTGGCAAGCACAAGGTCCTCAGTTCAATTCCCGGTACCAGAAAAAATTAAAAAAAATAAAAAACATATAAGTAAAGCTATTTCAGCGTCTGGTAAGCACGAGGCTGTGGAATAACATCAGCTGAATGGATGACCACAGCGCCTTGCCCGGCTGTCTCATCCACGAGGGTAATCAATACTCGCTGAAAGAATAAACGGCCACGCCACACCGTACCAGCAACATGCTCTGAGAAGTGTGACGTTAGCAGGTATCTTGTGCAGACGTCATAGATTGCACTCAACACTGTCAGGACAATATAACCTCAGGGAACAACCCTCGCGGACGGGGTCCTCCACCTTGTTATGCAGGGCATATGACCGTCATCACCCCAAACTGCTTGAGGCACAATTACCTTCAAGGCAGCTACCCCTCACCTCCTGTCTTGCAGCCCGAGCTCTGCTAAAACCCACCGTGGAGCCACCCCGGATTTAAAGCCCACGATTCTCCTGGGGCTGTGACAGAGGCGCGCAAGCCCAGAGGGGTAACTCTCACCCACCCTCATGCCTGCAACCCGACCGCCCCACTTACCACGACTTAGGGACGCGTTGAGGCCACGGAGAAGGCCAGACCAGATCATCCCGGCTCCGGGTGCGTCCCTATGTTAGGGGTAAGAGACTCGGACAGGAGCAAAAAGTGGCAGTAGTTGCCTGTGGGTCCAAATTCTTAAGGAAGTTCTTTCAGAGGTCTAAACATGACCCTTTATGCTATTAACAGACTCTCCGCAAAGTTGACCGAGCTCTAACTAGCTCTGGGGACCCAACCTGTCCCGCCCGCATACGTGCGAAAAGGGGAAACGGGAGATTTGCAGGACCAGAGGACTCCACTGACCTCACCGACCCTACCAGGGTCTGAAAACACGCTGCATCCTGCCTCCAGCCCCTTCCGGGGGTTCCGGGGCAGAGATTGGCGGGCCCTGCTAGGAACTCTTTGCGAAAGGGGCGGGACACGCGAGACGATTGGGCAAAGACGGAGTCTATCTCTGTCAATTTTCCCCGGTGAATTTTTTCGGAGGCCGGGCCGGGGCAATATCTTCCACAGTCTGATTGGTTCACCTGAGCAGAATGGCTCCTTTGCAATTGGTCTAAACGCGGAGTAGGCGGGACAAAGGGCTCTTCGTTTCCGATCCAAGATGGCTACGTCCATGGCACGGCGCTTGTGGCCTTTGCTGGCTCGTCGAGGGCTTCGTTCCCGGGGAGACTACGTCTACGACCAGAGCCCAAGGAGAAATTTTGCTACAGAGGAACGAAGCCGGAACCTCCTGTACGAGCACGCACGCGAAGGCTACAGTGCACTCCCTCACCTGGACGTGGAGCTGCTGTGCGCATGCCCAGAAGAGGTCGCGCGCGCCCTGGAGCTCCGCAAGGGGGAGCTGCGGCCGGCGGACCTGCCTGGGATCGTGAGTGCGCATGCGCCGGACATCGGGCGCGGGCTGCTGACTTTGCAGCGCCGGGTTCGCAACAGCTCCGTTTGGGGCATGAGGGGGCCTAATTGCAAGAATTTTAGTTCCATCTATCGTTGGCTAGTGTCTCGGGCATGGCACCCGCTTATGTGTCAGTGATCTGCTAAGGGCTAGGGATGTTCTGTGTGGTAAGGGTGCCTTCTGTTACCCTGGAAATCCATTTTGCGTCAGTCTCGTAACATGCTGGGTACTTTGTATGCTCTAGGGACCTACTATAAACAGTGCCAACGCCCTTGGCTCCAGCCTCATGCCAGGCTTACCCTAAGGCTGCGCACGCGCGCGCGCACACACACACACATACACACACACACACACACACACACACACACACGAGGAACGGGGTCTGTATCAGGCAGGGAAGGTGCAGGCAGTGGAGACCTTACTTTCAGAGAGGTAGAGTTCTGGCCCATTGGAGAAGCAAGCAGTTAAATAGGCTTTAGTGATGAATGGTTCTGCTGAGCAGATGCTTACGGAACACCTACTGTGTTCTAGCGTTTCAGGAATTGAGAATCGGCGATGAGTAAGGATGATAAAAAAAATCATTAGTCCTTTTCTTTTTTAATTTTTTTTTTGTCTTTTTTTTCTGGTACCAGGAATAAAACTCATGACCTTGCGCTTGCCAGGCAGGCGCTTTGCTGCTGAGCTAAATCCCCAGCCCCCCATTAGTCCTTATATAATAATACATACTAGGAAACAGGAACTGGGGTCATCGTATTTCTTTTTTCCCCCTGCACTGGGGATTGAACCCAGGGCCTTTACCCTGAGCTGCGTCCCCATTCTGTTTATTTATTTATACTTATTAATTCTCTCTTGAGACACCGTCTCACCAAGTTGCCCAGGCCAGGCTTGAATTTGTGATCTTCCTGCCTCAGCCTCCCAGGGTGCTGGGATTATAGACATTTGCCACCACCACACGAAGTTTGGAGTCATCATATCTCTGTTGAACGAATATAGTAGGGTCGCCAAGTCTTCCCGGTCTGCTCTTGGATCCCCCAACCAGTCTGTTCTAAATGCTTTTTATACTTTGGTCTCTATTATTAATTTTTGCAACTACCCTGTGAATTAAGTGTATTTCCCCCTCAGTCTATCAAAGGGGAAACAGGCTTAGAGAGGTTAATTAACTTGCCAAGATCACAAAGTTGGTAAGTGGCAGAGTAGGGATTTGAACCTTTGCTGTTTGGCTGCAGAACCCACAATCTAAATTACTCTTCTGTGCTGTACCATAAGCAAGATGAGCCAAGTTCACAGCCTTTAAATGAGACGGGTATGTCATATACAGTTACAACTGTGTACTCAAACTCTGGTAAGTACTGTGAAGGCAATAGACAGCCTGGGGCAGCCTCTCAGAGGAGGTGGGTGGCAGTGGGCAGAGATCTGTGGACTAAGTGAGAGCCAGCAGAAGAGGGGAGACGGATGTCCCAAGAGGAGGGGCCCAGCATTTATAGAAGCCAAGGGGTGGACTGTTCCGCTTGGTGGACAGGGAGGTAACTTAGTGTCACAATCTTCAGCAAGGTTTCGGTCTTTGTGGCCCAGAATAAGGATGCATTTTACATCCTAACCCAGGACACACACCCACAATTGAAACCAAAGTTTCTTGTTCTCACCATGGGTGGTGCGGTCTTATTTTTTTAATTATATTCCCTTTCTTTTTAAAGTGCTGGTTTAGAAATCCTAAATAAATGTTGTTTATTTGAGATAGGGTCTTGCTGTCTAGTCCAGGCTGGTCTTGAACTCAGTATGTAGCCCAGGCTGGCCTCGAACTTGTGGCAATCCTCCTGCCTCAGCCTCCCAAGTGCAGGGATTAAGGCATGTGGTACCGCATCCAGTTTAGAAATCCTGAATTAATGCTGTAACTCACTGTCTGGGCTGCTGTACCAGAAAACCATAGACTGGGCAGCTTTTAAGCAACAAAAATTTATTTCCCCTCACTTGGGAGGTTGAAAAGTCCAAGGTCAAGGCACAAGCAAGTTTGTTTTCTGGTTCATACATAGCTACATTCTCATTATGTCTGCACATGGGGAAAGAGGAAAAGTTCGAGGTCTCTTTAGTAAGCGCACTAATCCACGCGTCAGAGCTTTAGCCGTGTGACCAAATCCCAAACCCCCACCTCCTAATGCCTTCGCATGGCACGGGGATTTGAACATATGCAGAGGGTGCGCCTGGGCATTCACTCCACAGTGCCCATGCTGGGTCACAACCCAAAGCTTGAAAAATGCTTCTGCAGGGTTGAGCTCTCTTCAGAGCCCACTGTCTAGTCCAAGCGGAGTGAGAAAAAGTCTAGGACGGCAGCTTATCTTTAAGCAGGTGACCCAAGCGTCACACGAACCTCTTCCACGCGTGTCTGTCAGCTGGTCTTGGTCACAGCAGCACAAGCCGCTGCAAAGGCATCTGGGAAATGTGCCTTAATTCAGGGCAGCCTGGTGCCCACCTCAGCGTCAGAGTTCTTGTCCTGAGGGAGGAGGGGAGCGTGGCTCGTGGGGGCCCAGGAGGGGTTTCCGCTGCAGCACCCGCAGGCCCAGGTGAGGCTTTGGCAGCGGGAAGCACCTCTCCCGCCTCTTTCCCCCCGCAGATCTCCATGTGGCAGGAGCTGAGGCAGCTGCGGGAGCAGATCCGGAGCCTGGAGGCTGAGAAGAGTACTGTGGCGGAGGCAGTGCGTGCGCTGGTGGTGAGCAAGTGTGCGGAGCAGGCGGGGGCACCTCTGACCACAAGTACTGGGAAAAGCCAGTTTAAGGCACGTGAACCACGGGAACAATTATTGCCTCTCATCCTGGCTGTTCCCCGGAGAAGATGAGAGATTTACCCAAGGGCACATCTGTCCCGTTCCCTCAGCAGCTCAGGATCACAGGAGATTCTGAACATCAAGTGCCTTTGGCAGCGGGCCTCACCTGCACACTCACAGACTCAGTTTGCTTATCTGCAAATGGGCGTCCACAGAGGCCAGGCTGCAGAGTGGGCCAAGATGCAGGAGACAGTGTCTGGCCCCAGGTTCTTCATGGAGGCTGCATACCATACACCGCGGCTGGTGTGATAACTGCTCCGTCACCTCGCCCTCCTAGCTGCTTTAGCAGCAGGGAAACTGAGGCACAGAGTGGTGGAGGGACCCAGTTGGGCACTGACCAAGCAGGAGGTCCAGACCCGTTGCTGGTTTGACCACACCCTCAAGCTGACCGGCCTAATCCTCCGCCCCCCATCTCTTTTCTGCCAGGTGAACCAGGACCACGGTCAAGTGCAGCAGGTACCGCAGGGAGCTGACGTCTTGTCCCGGGTTGGGGGTGGGCAGGGTGGCTACTGTATCAGCCACAGTGCTCCCATTGTAGATGACAAAAATTACGACACAGACAGGTGTACGTGGGAAAACAGAACACAGGCGCTTTGGACTCATGAAACTAGAACTGCCGGCTTCCAGTATAGCGGTGTAGCGGCTGGCTGGCCTCCAGTACAGCTGGACCCAGGTCCTGGCGCCATGTTTGGTTTTGTTTCCTTTCATTCGCGGCCCAGCTTTCTCGCCTTGTGGAGCGGGCAGGCAGGGTCAAGCATGCCTTCCCGAGTGCTCCAGCCGGAGCCCTGAGGCCAGTTCTCGTGAGTTCAGCAGGGCAGACACCTGTCACTGAGCCAATCATGGAAGCCAATGCAACAGAGCATTCTAGCTGGCCGGGCGTGAGCCTTGCCCCAAGAATCTGTCAGGTAGTGGCCAGAGGGTGCCTAACAGGAAATTCAGATTGCCAGACCTAAAGAAGAGGCAACAGAGGTCCACCCCAGAGGTTCTGCCAGTGAGGACTGAGGTCCAGTTGAGGGGTCCCAGCCTTGCCCTGGACTGACCCCTTTGTGCTGTCCCTAGGACCCTCAGTATCAGACCCTACGGGCGCACGGCCGGGAAATCCGGAAGCAGCTCATGCTCCTGTACCCCAGGGAGAACCAGCTGGAGGAGCAGTTCTACCTACAGGCGCTGAGGCTGCCCAACCAGACCCACCCGGACGTGGTGAGCATCACAGAGGGCAGCAGGGGCCCTCTTAGCACCTCCTTCCGTGACACCCCCACTCTGTGTCCCTGCAGCCCGCCGGGGACGAGAGCCAGGCCCGTGTGCTCCAGGTGGTCGGAGACAAGCCAGGTGGGCCGTGCCCAGGGCCAGGGAGTGGGGCTGGGGGCCGGGCACACCTGGGATCAGGGTGTTGGGGGCTTCTGGGGCCTGGGGTGCAGCTGCAGCCCTTGGAGCGCTTGGCCCTGTGGGAGGTGGCGCCGTCTGCCTTGGGTGAGCTGGCTCTGGCAGCAGCTCTCAGCTCCGCCTGTCTCCTCAGCCCCCGGGCCTGCTCCCCAGTGCCCTGCGCGCAGTCTCCCACTGGGCCTCTCCCTCCCTGCCCCGTGTGCGTCCGCGTCCTGTTGCTTCTCTTCTCCCTTCCTGCGCACGTCCTCTTTCCCGCTCTCTGCCTCTGCTGCTCCAGCTCTGCCCTCCCCCTCTCCCATCTCTCCCTCATGAGTCTCTGCATCCTTTCCCCAGCCCCGCCTCCGCCCTCTTATGTCCCCTTTGCCTTTCTCTGTCCCTCTTCCCTCTCCACCTGTCCCTCTCCCTCCTCCTCTCACCCTCTCTTCCTGTCTCCCTGTCTCCCTCCAGCTGCTCCTGACTCTGTTCCCCGCCTCCTCTCACCCCATTGCTTTTTTCCCACATGCAGCTTTCTCCTTCCACCCTCGGGGCCACCTGGAAATCGGCGAGAACCTCGACATCATCCGGCAGAAGTGAGCTCCCCCGCCCTCCCTCCCGTCCCCACCGCAACAGCTGGTGGCCGCCCCTGCACCCTGGGCCTCGTCCTGAGACGTAGATGTGCAAATGCCAGGGCCGCACCCGGCATGAATGTTTGATGCCCACCCGCCTGGCAGCTGGGCTTCTGCCCCAGGTGCCCCAGTCCCCCTCGCCCCTACCAGCCCTGCCCTTATGCATTTGGCTGTTTGTCTGCCCATCTGTCCCCAGGCGCCTGTCCCACGTGTCGGGCCACCGCTCCTATTACCTGCGTGGCGCGGGGGCCCTCCTGCAGCACGCACTGGTCAACTTCACTCTCGGCAAGCTCGTCCGCCGGGTACGGCTGGGCCAGGAGGACGGGGTAGAGGGGCAGCGCTGACCCTGAATTCAGAGGGTTCCAGGCAGAGAGGGGAGGGCTTTGTGTGCATTAGTGCCACATTTATTCTTAGGATGATCTTAGGAAGTGGGTGTTTATTATCCCCACTTTAGAGCGGGGAAATCAAGACCTGGCAGCAGGGGCTAACTGGCCCAAGGTCACAGTCAGCACAGGGACCTGGCCGGGAGCCACACGTGTAACCACGACGCCTTGCTGCCCACCTAGAGTGTAAGGGGAAGCACGGTCCATGAGGAGTCAGCAGGCTGACAGAATGGGGCTCTGGCCATGGTTGGGGAGTCAGACATTTCTCCATAATCTGGAGGGCACTAGGGAGCCATGGGAGGCTTCAGCAGGGGCAGGACATGGCCAAACCTCCGCCTGCCCTGTGCTGGATGAACTTAGGGGAAAAATTGGAGCCTATAGCAGAGCAGGCCTGCTAGCACAGACACCAGGAACCTGGCCCGCTGTCAGGCCTGACTCGGTATCTTCCACTGGGGGAGGGGAGTAACTCAAGTGACAAGTGAGACAAGGGGGGCCCCGCCTGCCCTGTACCTCACTGACCCACCCCTCCCACAGGGCTTCACCCCCATGACTGTGCCAGACCTTCTCCGTGGAGCTGTGTTTGTGAGTGAGGCCCTGAACTGCTGGGGAGGCTGCCCTGGGCCCGGGCAGGAGGCCTGGCCATAGCCAAGTGGCCAGCACATCTCCAGGTGCTGCCCAGGCGGGGCTGGGGCTGTGACTGCACACCCGGGAGGCAAGGCTACCCCCACCCCCTGCTGTCCCCCAGGAAGGCTGTGGGATGACGCCGAACGCCAGCCCATCCCAAGTTTACAACATCGACCCCTCCCGCTTTGAAGACCTCAACCTGGCTGGGACGGCAGAGGTGGGGCTCGCAGGTGAGCGCTGCCTGGGTGGTGGGGCGGAGGGGCAGGAGAGAGTGGGGGACAATAGGAAGCACTGTTGGGGACAGCAGGCAAGGTTGCCTGCCTGGGAGACCTCAGCTGTCCAAGGGCCAGCACATACAGTTGTGTAGGTTGGGCTGGGCAAGGTGGCACACACCTGTGATCCTGGTGCCCTGGGAGGCCAAGGCAGGAGTGCAAATTTGAGCCCAGCCTAGAAATTTAGACTCTGTCCCAAAATGAAAATTTAAAAAGGGATGGGGATGTAGCTCAGTGGGAAGGCCCTGAGTTTAGTCCCTAGTCCTTCAAAACAAAAAACAGTGAGCCTGATGGCACACTCCTGTAATCCCAGCACTAGGGAGGCTGAGGCAGGAAGATCACCATGAGTTCGAGACCAGCCTGGGGGCTACATAATGAATTCCAACCCAGCCTGAACTACAGAATGAGACCCTATCTTTAAGAAAAAGGAAGAAAGGGCTGGTGATTTAGCCCAGCAGCACAGCACCTGCCTGGCAAGTGCAACGTCATGAGTTCGATTCCTGGTACCGGGAAAAAAAAAAAAAGAAAGAAAGGGCCAGGGATATAGCTCAGTGGCCTAAGCACCTGCCTGGCAAGTGCAAGGTCCTGAGTTCGATTCTCAGTACCGAAAAAGGAAATAAATAAATAAATACATTTAAAAAGAAAGAGAAAACCAGTTCCTGAGATCGATTCTCAGTACCGAAAAAGGAAATAAATAAATAAATAAATACATAAATTTAAAAAGAAAGAGAAAACCAGTTGTGTAGATTACTCCCTGCACAGCAGCATGGTGATAATCCAGCAGTTGTTCTGATAGAGGTTGTGGCCAGCAAAGGAAATGCCTTTTCTGAATGTCACAAAGGTGATGGCCACCCTGGCTGGCCCCATCCTACCCACTTCTCTTCCTCTCAGGCTACTTCATGGACCACAGTGTGGCCTTCAGGGACCTGCCAGTCAGGTAACACCCAGTTCCTTTAAACCCCATTCCACCTGTGACATTGCCCCCGCCCTCCCTGACCCAGCCTCGCCTGTTGCCCCCAGGATGGTCTGTTCGAGCACCTGCTACCGGGCAGAGACAGACACTGGGAAGGAGCCGTGGGGACTCTACCGGGTGCACCACTTCACCAAGGTTGGTGGGGCCGGGCACGCTGCAAGGGGGTCACCCAGCCCGCCAGGCCTCCTGACTGCTGTGCCCCCACCCGCCCAGGTGGAGATGTTCGGGGTGACAGGCCCTGGGCTGGAGCAGAGCTCACAGCTGCTGGAGGAGTTCCTGGCCCTGCAGGTGGAGATCTTGACGGAGCTGGGCCTGCACTTCCGGTGCGGAGGGGGCAGGGCGCTGAGGGAGGGACAGCGCGGGCCAGGCGCTCCCCTTTGTAGCCTCCTTTGTCCTGTGAGGACATCTGCGTGTGTCTGCAGTGAGGCCCTCCCTCACGGTCCCCATCTCCGGCATCCCCTGCACACCCGCTGAGACCCCTCTTTTGTAGCCAGTGGGAAGTGAGGGCAGGGAAGGGGGAGACCCCGCTCTGCACCCTCCTTCAGGTACTCACAGGTTTTGAGAGAGCTTGAGAAAATTGGACTTTTCTTCGGGATGACCCAGCAAAAAACTGGGGTTGCTGTTTTGTGATGTTTTCCAGTACTTGGAGTGGAACCCAGGGCCTTTGTGCTGAGCTACACCCTCAGCCCTTTTTATATTTTATTTTGAGATAGGGTCTCACTGTGTCACTGAGATGCCCACGCTGACACTAGGCACGGTGGCATATGCCTGTGACTCAGGAGGCCAAGGCAGGAGGATCGCTACAAGTTCGAGGCCTGTTCAAGCTATATAGGGAGTTCAAGGCCAGCCTAACACTATATAGCAAGACCCTGTTTCAAAAAGCAAAAAAAAAAAAAAAAAAAAATGCCCAGGCTAGGCCCAAACTTCCAGTCCTCCTGCCTCAGCCTCCAGAAGTGCTGGATTATAGGCTTGCTTCACTGCACCCAGCTGTAGGGGTGCTGTTACAGCAGGGGAGCAGCCTGGACCCTCCATCTTCATCACCGCTGCCTTTCCTTCTGCCTCCCGCCACCCCGTCTCACCTCTTCCCCTTCATGGCTGTCGTTACCTCCCTTTTTCCTGCCATTTCCCTCGGGGTGGGATGCCTGCTCCTCCTTGGCCTCTGTTTCACCCCCGTCTCCCTCACCCCTGCTAACCTTCACTTCACTGCTCTCCCTGGCCGCAGGGTCCTGGACATGCCCACCCAGGAGCTGGGCCTTCCCGCCTACCGCAAGTTTGACATTGAGGCCTGGATGCCCGGGCGAGGCCGCTTTGGAGAGGTGAGACTTACCCGGCCGGGACATGATGGGGATGGGAAGGCTGGGGGCCCCCCGCCCCCCCACAAGCTTCTCAGCCCCTCCTGCCCCCAGGTCACCAGTGCTTCCAACTGCACGGACTTCCAGAGCCGCCGCCTGCACATCATGTTCCAGACCGAGGCTGGGGAGCTGCGCTTCGCCCACACGGTGAGGCTGGTGCACCCCCGCCTGCCTGCCCATCACCCTCCCCCTGCCCACGTCTCTCCGGGGCCCTGGCAACCCTGGCTCTGAGCACCACCTCCCTCCCAGGTAAACGCCACAGCCTGCGCCGTCCCCCGAGTCCTCATCGCCCTGCTGGAGAGCAATCAGCAAAAGGTGAGGGGTCCAGAGGGCCGGTCTGCAGAGGAGGGCGGCTAGAGGAGGGCTGGGGCGGTGGCAGCGTCCAAGGCCTGTGTGTCCCCAGGATGGCTCGGTCCTGGTGCCTCCTGCCCTTCAGCCGTACCTCGGCACCGATCGGATCACAGCCCCTGCTCACACGCCTCTCCAGTACATCGGCCCCAACCAGCCCCAGAAGCCCAGGCTCCCCGACCAGCCAGCGTCAAGCTGAGGACCGCCTGCACCCATCCATGGGTTGTCACCGCCTCCTGGAGCTCAGAAGCCCCAGACCCTTGGCCCATCTTCCTGGGCACATCCTGACACCTGCGTTCTTCACACCAGTTCACACGTGGGCACCAGGACCCCACAGTCCACCCCCTGCTTCCCGCTCCCTGTGGTCATGGGGGTCACCTGCAACAGGGTACCTGAGATGCTGAAGGGGAACAGCTCCATCTCTCCTTTCTCCCCGCCTGGCTGAGCAGAAAGTCCCAATAAACAGAGTGGAGACCTTTGTGGGTCTGTGAGCAAGGGAGATGTTGTCAGCTGCTCAGCAGTGCCACATCAACAGGGCATCTGCGGCCACAGGGACTGTTGCTGGAGCACCTGTGGAGTGGCCCGAGTGCCACTCAGAGGGTTGTGAGGATGCCGAGCCCCCCCCCCCATTCCCTGGGGACAAGTTGGGCAGTCACCTGCCGTGGTGCCAGCTGCAGATCTCCCCAGATCTGTCCCCTACATGTGTCCCACTCTGCAGCCAGCTCATGAGTGGCCCCAGCAGCCCGCTTCAGAGCACTTCCAGAATTGGATCACTGCCACCTCTGGGGCCCCTCCATGGGTCCTGTCCACCCCATTCCTACTTGGATGTCACAAAGCCCCCTCACTGTCTTCCTGCTCCTTGTGAGCGTCTGAGACCGAGTAAGGCCTTCCCATGCCTACAGCTCTCCCTCAGCTCCATCCCAGAGGAAAGGACAAAGTTGTCATGACCTCACATCTGTCCTCTGGGTTCCCCTCAGTCATTTCCGCCTTTGCTGCATAGAGTGTATTTATGTGAGTGTTGTCTCCCTTCTGCATGTCCACTCCCAGAAGGCTGGGATGCTGGCCAGTTTGTACACTACTGTAGTTCCACAGCCTAAAGAAGAGTTGGCATATAGTAGGTGCTCAATAAAAGTTTTCCTGAATGGGGCCAAGGTTGTAGCTCAGTGGTAGAACATTTGCCTGGCATTCATGAGGATCTGGGTTCTATCCCCAGGGCTGTAGAACAACTCACTGGAGCAGCATGTGGACCCATGCACTTCCCATGGCAGGGTACTGCCCTAAGCATTACACACATTGTTTCCGCCTCACCCACACACTGCAGTAGGTCATCATCAACGCTTTTTATATATGAGACCATTTTAGAGATGGTAGGCAGCTGTTCAGGCTGCACGAGGCCTGAGTGCTGGAGTCGGGCACTCAGGTGAGAACCCAGTGCCAGCCTCTGAGAAGTAGGTGGGTGAGAGCCACTTTCCAGATGAGGAAATGAGATGCAGAGAGGAGCTGGGTGGGGGTCAGTGAATGGCCGTGTGTGGCTGGGAAGCTGGGTGAGCTTGCCCTCTACGCAGTGCTCCGAGCGAGCAGGAGGCCTGGGGCGTGTGCAGAGCGAGGGGCCCCATGAATAATTGAGAGTCCTGGGCAGGCTGGCCATCCTGCAGCTGTCGCAGCGCCGCGGGCAAGGGGGCGGTGGCCACGTCACTTCCTCCCCTGCGGGGCCACCAGGCAGATTATAAGGTGCTGGCAGCAGCTGCAGAGCTGAGGACCCAGGTCCAGACCACCAGCCATGGTGCGCTGCTTGCCGGTTCCCGCGCTCTTGCTGCTGTTGGGGGCCGGTGAGTGCCAGACACTGCAGCCCGGGGGCAGGGCTTGGGGCCAGCAGGGCTGGGCGGGCCGGTGGGCCGGTGGGCCGGTGGGCCAGTGGGCTGGTGAGGCGCTGGGTCAGTACCGAGGACAGCACCCGCCTCTTTCCTCCACAGTCACCGCGGCTCCCCTGGTGCCCAGCCCCGACAAGGAGGAGGTGAGGAGCACAGACCCCTTGCTCTGGCTCACTGCACGGGGTCCCCTTCCTGCCCAGCCTCCTCCATGATCCCCACCCCGCCAACCCTCGAGTCACTCCACCCGATTTCCCCTGCCCTCAACCTCCCCTCTGACCCTGCACCCCTGCCCCTAGCTGACCCGCTGTCTGGCAGAGGTGGTCACTGAGGTGCTGACCGTGGGCCAGGCCCAGAAAGGACCCTGCACGGCTCTCCTCCACAATGGTAAGAGGACCCCAGTTCCTCGGCAGGGTCCCACTCCCTGCACCAGGGTTCTATCCAGGGTGCCCCACCTGCCCTCCCACCTGCCACGCCGCTGCCTGAAGGAAGGGGTGTCCTGTGGCACTCCAGCCCCCTGGCCTGTCCAGTGCTCCCACCTGACACAGCCTGGCCTCCAGCTGCACCCTCCCCCGAGCTCTGTTCCTGCGGGGGGACACGTCCTGAGCATCTGCCCCTCCTCTCCTGGTTCTGAGCTGTGGGACCTCCGGCAGGACCCAGAACTCTAAAGGGTCTCCATTTCCCGGCTTGATGCTGAGAGGTCTGTCTCTTTCTGCCAGAGATATGCAAGACGGAGCCCTACGGCTGCACGCCCCCTGGGGAGAAGGGAGGGCTGCTCCGGGACTCCAAGAAGCAGGAGGCTGGGAAAACAAGGCCCAGCCAGGAGGTGAGGGACCAGGAAGAGGAGGCAGCAGAGCGCACCCACAAGGCCGAGGGGCGAGAACAGGCCGTCCTCGAGCAGCTCCACAGCCGGCTCCGCCAGGAGGAGGAGAAAGAGGACGAGGAGGAAGAAAAGAAGGGGCCCATGGAGACCTTCGAGGACCTGTGGAAGAGCTGGCTAGAGGGTGGAGGGGGCCCCCAGAAGCGGGTGGCAGAGAAGGCCAGTGATGAGGAGACATCCCGGTTTGAGGAGGAGAAGGATGTGCAAGAGCTGGGTGGGGGCCGCAGCCTGTGGCAGGGGACAGAGAAGGTCGCAGGAGAGAGACACACGGACGCACCACACCGTCACCAGCAGCAGCAGCAGCAGCCAGGCGCCGAGGCCAAGCAGGAGGAGGAGGAGGCGGCTTCAGAGCGGGAGGTGAGTGGGGTAGCGGCACCTCCTCATCGCTACAAGCAGCGCAGTCCGCCACCGACAGCTCACAGGGGCCGAGGCTAAGGTCTAGGTGGCAACATCTAGGCGAGGTCTCTGTTGGCTAAAGTGCTTGCCCTCTGGGGTTAGAGTCACGGGGAAGGCCACCATTACAAGAGTACAGCCACCAGGAAGGCCACCATGACCGCCTGGAAGCATCCGAGTTGGCCACCCCTGCCAGTCCATAACCAGCAAGTTGGCCACCAGGAGAACCTGCCACGGCTGCCGCGGCGGGCTCACCAGGCTAGACTGGTACCACTGCTGGGCCACGGAAAGTAAGCTGTCACCGGGATTGGTGGCACTAACTGAAGTGGCCATCACATCACAAATGGATCACCCAAGTTGGGCACCTTTGGCAGTCCCTAGAGCACTGCATGAAGACCTCAGACTTGCAGGCTGGCAAACCCATCCCATGCCACGAGGACTAGGAGGACTGCTAGGTGCTGCCACTGTGAGAAGTGCTGGGGGACCCCTGGGGCGGCCTGCCTTCACAGGTAGACACTGATCACTGTCTCTGACCCCACCAGGAACACGACATGGAGCGGCTGGAGCGTGTGAGTGACGAGCTGAAGAAGGCCACCGTGATGCTGGGGGAGGCGCTCTGGAGGGAGGGCTGACCCGCCTCGCCCCTTCCTCTTTCCCCATGTGTCCTTACGGCTTAAGACTGTTGACCCCAAACCAGGCACCCACTCCACCCCAACCTGCAGGGGAGAAAGGAAGGGGGCGCCTTGGGACGAAGCCTGAGGGGACAGGTCTGAGCGGGTGGGGGCTGGGCTCGGATCCACTCAGGAAACACCTCAACACCCACCGCACCCCTCCCACCCTTCTGAGTGAATAAAGCACGAGAAAACCACCGGGGCTGGTTGTGCAGCCCTTGACTTTGGAGGGGCGGGGCCCCGCAGTGACACAGAGGACTGGGAAGCGCATTTCAGTCTGGGCTCTATTGTCAGAACGGAGGTTTTATTAAACTGGCAATTAACAAAAATCAGATGGGGTCAGGGTCATCAGGAAGAGGTTTGGACGCTGGGGCAGGAGGTAGCTTGCTTCGGCTCCGGCCACTGTGGACCACGATATCATCGTATTCATCCTAGGAGCAGAGCGGGCAGCAGAGGGGCTCAGGTGGCTGCCACTCTGCCCACTGCCCAAGTCGCAACACTGCACAGATCTGGTCTTGCCTTGAAACTGAGCTCCCCTGCTCCTGGTTCAACCTCCCCTGCCTGGCGCTCAAAGCATCCCTTCCAAGGTCCCAGCTCCCAGGCCTGGGCCCTCCCACCCGACAGGCCCGGACTGTATCCCACAGCAACTGGAGGTCCGTCCTCCATCCCTCAGCCTTAGCCCAGATTCTTCACGCCCCATCCATGCATCCCTTGCCAGTGTCCTGGCGCTTGGGGTCTCCAGTGAAACCTCTCCTACCCGCTCCTGGCAGCCGTGTTCTAATCCCTGCTGCCACTGTCACCCGCCTGCGGCCTGAGTTCTCCAACTCCTGTGCCCCAAGTCTCTCCCCATACTGCGTCCACTCGTCACTACCACCAAGCTCTCTCCACCTCTGTCCATTTCTGCCTCTGCTGCTGCTTCAGCTCTCCCCCGCCCCCGCCCACGTTCTCCCTGCGCCCCATCCGGCACTCGCTGCGCCAGCGCCTCTCCCACGGCCGCTGAGTTCCCTAAGAGCAGCAGCCCCAGGTCCACTGGGCTCAGTGTCACCCAGTCCCATCCTCGCTTTTCTGACCCCTTGCGGGCTGCCCCCCTCCCACCATCCTCCTGACTCACGCCCTCGTCTCTGCTGTCGCTGTCGCTGTCGCTGTCGCTACTGCTGCTGCAGGGGCCAGGCTTCTCGTCCTCATCCTCAGGCTCAGGGGCTCCATGTAAGCGGAGGAGGCGGGCAAGGACGGCATTGTGCCGGAGCAGGGCACTGCCCAGTGGGGTGCGGCCCCCGTACATGCGGGCAGTGGGGTTGGCACCTGCCCTCAGGAGAAGCTCCAGCACATCGGCCGCTTGCGCCTCCACTGCCAAGTGCAGGGGGCTCCGGCCGCATGTGGGCTCCTGTGGATACAGCAGAGGTCAGCGGGCCTGACGAGGAGACACACACACACACGCACACACACCCCTGCACCCTACCGTGCCTCACCGGTTTGTTGAGGTCAGCTCCAGCATCCCGGAGCACACGGACCATTTCTGCGTCTTTGTGGATGACTGCCACATGGAGTGGCGTGTGGCCTGGGGACAGAGTGACTGGTGTAAGACAATGGGGTGAGGTCCCTGGGCCACCAGAGCTATCATCCCGGGAGAGGGCCATCCTGGGGGTACATCAAAGAGGTGTGGACATCCGAGGCCTGAGTCTCAGGTGGTCTGAGGGTCTGGGCCAGTCGGTCCCTGGCAGTGGGATGTATGTGTCCCAAGGGTGATGAGGCTGGGGTCTTTGGATGGGAGCTCTGGACCTTGGGGCCAGGACACCTGAGTCTTTGGTCTCATTTCACAAAGGATCTGGGACCTGAGCAGCTGAGGAGCCCGAACCCTTGAGTCGGGGGTGGGCTCTGAACCCTGGGTACCACACATCCTCAGTCCATTTGTGCAGGGGCCTGGCGCCTGGCAGCGGGGCTTCCTGGTCAGGGAGCTGAGCCTCAGAGCCAGGTCCTTTCCCATGAGGCCTGGTGGAGGAGGCTGCTGGCCCCGCACCCTGCTGCCTGGTGCTGGGACCCTGGAGTCCCGCAAAGCCTAGGCTTTCAATCCCTGAGTCCTGGGTAGGCAGGGGCTGCGCTGTGTGTGTAAGAACAGCGATCCCAGATGGACTGCACCTTGCAGGCGGTAGCTTGGGCTCAACCCCTGGATCCTGGCAGCTTGGCCTCTGGGTCCCAAGTGGCCTGAAGCCACCACCCTGGATCCCATACATCCTATTCCCAATTATCTGGGGCCTGAGTGGAGATCCTCGGTCCCGAAGCTGGAGTCCCTGAAGCCCAGGGTTGATTTTCCAAGGGACTGGGGTTTTGAGTCACAAAAGCTGAGCCCAGAGCCTGGTGCCCAGCCCTGTGGGTCCCCAGCCCTGCCTGGGTGCTGGGGCCCTTCCCCAACCCTCACCCTCGTAGTTCTCAGCCTCCAGCTGTAGCTTCCAGTCCTCCTCACTCTCCTCCTCCTCCTTCTCCAACTCAGGCTCAGGGTGCAAGGCAGCAGGGCTGTGGCTGGTGTCGGGGGCGTGGTCTCGGCTCTGTGTGAGGTAGGTGTAGGAAGCTTCCCGGGGACGGGGCTGGAGCAGCGCGCGTGCGCAGGCGGGTGCCCCCACGCGACAGGCCAGGTGCAAGGCCGTGTGGCCCCCGCGCTCCCCCACCAGCAACCCCGCACCGGCTGCATACAGCTTCTCCACCGTGGACGCCTCCCCTAGGATGGCTGCCAGGTGCAGGGCTGTCTACGGGAGCACAGAGCAGAGGTTAAGGTCACAGGGAAGACAGCGGACCCCAAGCCCTGTACTGTCCCTGTGGCTTACTTGGCCTAGATCGTTCTGCAGGTCCAGGTACTCAGTGCCCGCGGAGAAGCCCAGGAGGAAGTCCAGGAAGGGCTCATGCTGATGAATCACGGCCAAGTGCAGTGCCCTGGGGACCAACACAGGGGTCAGGGGGCAAGTACTGTGCCTGTTGCAACGAACGTGGAGTAGCTACTGTGCAGTAAGCATTGTGACCACAGTTCTGGAAACAGTGGTCCATGTCTGGGAGGCTCAGAAAGCAGAGTTTTTTCAGCAAAGCAGATTAATCAATGTTTATTAAGTGGGACTTCCACTTCCGTTCAAAATGAAGTAATATGACCAACATCTCTCCCATCTGAAACAACTGAAAATAAAATCAGACCAAAAGAAGTAGAAGAAGCAATAGTTTTGAAGACACCAGACATCATGCACCAGATCACAGTAACTCCTGAAAAACAGGGAACATGAGGTGAAGCCCTATAGTTGACCGCTACAGGTTACTGTCGGAGAAAATTCTCAAGCCATGGGTGGGTGCAGAGACAGGGAGCCCAAGCAGACGTCTCAGGTTGTAGCTGAGGGTCTGGAGAGACCAAGGTACCTGAGCAATAGGGCCGAGTAGGCAGGAGGAGAGAGCTGCACAGGGAGAGAGCCCTGGACATCTGCAGAGGATCCCAGCAAGTATTCAGGAGGGCACTGACCAGGCTGTGTGTGAGTCTGAGGGTGCAGGTGGGACAACCACCCAATAGAACCCATCATTCACTCAGAATAATGGTTGTTCCCACCAGCTGGAATAGGACAACTCATCATTCACATGACACTGGGTGTTGTGCTCAGGAGGGTTTTGCCTCAGTAGTGGGGAATAATAAATCTTAGGAACATGGCTCAGTACCCAACTAACGAATCATAAAGGCAAAACTCAAGAAAGGATCAAACTAATTTGAAGTGATCTAACACACCCCAGAACAATACTCAGGAATAGTTATAGGGATACAGAACTATCCAGCCTAACAGGGTAAACTTCTCAATGTCTGGCTTCTAACCAAAGATTATCAGGTGTGCAAGAAAACGATCCATCATGAGAATCATCAACGAATTGCAACAAACCCAGAAGTGACGTGGGTGTTAGACCTACCAAGCAAGAATATGAAAATAACTATAACTGCATGCTGTGTGTGCAGACAGTTAAGTAGGGACACAGATAATAGAAGAAAATGTTCAAATTAAACTCTTAGACATAATAGCGTCTGAAATGAAAAAGCACCAGGTAGGATTAACAACATATTACAGAAAAAAGTTGAATGAACTTGAAGACATAATGATAGCAACTGAACAGAAGGAGCAGGCCATATGTTATGGTCTGTGTCTAGATGTCCCCCTCAAAGCCTCATGAAGTCATAGGGTTTTTCGGAGGTTGCTGAATCTAGAGTGTGTGATTGATTCCTAGTCAATGCTGGGGTTAAGGGTGGGTGACTGCTGGATCAGTCCACTGATTGGATTGACACTGACCTAATTCCAGTAGACTTGATAGACTATAAGGGACAAAAAGACGCTCATCTTGCACTCTCTCTGTTGTTGCTTTTGCTGTCTTCCACTGCCTTGAACTGTTGCCCCTCTGCCATGTGCCACTCTGCCTTCAAGCCAGCTGTTTATGGACTGAAACCTCTGCAAACTATGAGCTAAATAAACCTTTCCCCCTTTAACTTTGGGTGTCGGGGAGTTTGTCTCAGCAACAAGAAAAGTAAGACACAATTATAACGAATGCCTCTCCCAGTGACTTGAGAAGCTGAGGCAAAAGGATCTCCTGCTGTCTCTCTTTTTTAAACAGAGTCTTGTTTTGTAGCACAGGCTGGCCTCAAGCTCACAAAGATCCTTCTGCCTCAGCCTCAGAAGGCTCTCAAGCCCACTACTTTGAGACCACCAGCCTGAGCTTTATAGTAACACCAAGACCCCATTGCAAGAGAGGGAAGAGTATCAGTGAGCTATGGGACGACTTCAAGAAGCCTTGTATATGTTCACCTGAGGTCCCTGAAGGAAGGGGGAGACAGAGCAAACATTGCAACAACTAGTAGATAGAAATTTTGCAAATTTGATGAACACTATAAATCTACAGGTTCAAGAAGCTCAATGAGCCCTATGAACAGGGAATATGAAGAAAACTACAAGGTTTATCATAGGCACATTGTTCAAAATCAGTGATAATGACAAAAGTCTTTAAAAAATAATAAAAAAGACAAAACTTGTAAAAGCTTCCAGAAGCCAGGCATGGTGGCACATGCCTGTAATCCCAGCACTTGAAAGGCTCAGGCTGGCCAGGCGTGGTGGTGCACACCTATAATCCCAGCACTCGGGAGGCTGAGGCAGGAGGATCGTTGCAAGTTCAAGACCAGCCTGGGCTATAAAGTGAGCTCAAGGCCAGCCTGGACTGCATAGTGAGACCCTGTCTCAAAAAAAAGAAAGGCTGAGGCAGGAAAATTGCCCCAAGTTCAAGGCCAGTTTGGACTACAGTGAGTTCAAGGGACCCAAAACTATGTAGCAAAACATTGTCTCAAACAGGCAGGCGCTTTGCCACTAGGCTGTGTCCCCAGCCCCACTGTCTCAAACAAAAAGAAAAAAAGCCAGGGAAAAAGCATCATAAGTAGAGAGGAATAAAAATAGGAATGACAGCAGATTTCACATAACAAACACATGAGAATACACAATGGAGCCACATCTTCATTAAAAATGACGGTCAGTCTAGTTTGTTTTGTGTGTGTGTGGTATTGTCTTTTCTCTCTCTCTCTTGCAATACTGGGTATTGAACCCAGGGCCTCTACACTGAGCTACATAGCAGCCTTTTAATTTTTTAATTTAATTTAATTTAATTTAATTTTATGGTCTTTTTGAGACAGAGTCACGCTATGCAGTTCAGGCTGGCCTTGAGTTCACTTTGTAGCCTAGGCTGGTTTCAAACTCGCGATGATCCTCCTGCCTCAGCCTCCTGAGTGCTGGGATTACAGGTGTGCGCCACCAAGCCCGGCTTTAATATTTTTTATTTTTAGACAAGGTCTTGCTAGGTTACCCAGGCTGATGCTGAACCTGCAATTTAAGACCCTCCTGCCTTCGTTCACCTCCTGAGTAGCTGGGGTTCCAGGCATGCACCACAGTGCCTGATATGGAGAACAAGGTGAATGAGGACACATCACGTTTTCACAAGCCTGCCTTTCCATTAGATGGCAGCAGCATTCACTGTATTTCTGATCACACCTCATAAAGACACTCATGAAAGAGGACTTCCAGAACTGCTTCAGAAAGTGGCAAGAACAATGGGACAAGCGTGTTCAGAGCAAGGGGGCGTATTTAGACCAGGATGAATGGCAATGTGTCCTTTACCGCAAAAATATTTTTTAAATTGAAACATTCATCATATATTTAAATCACACTTCATCTATTACCAACATGAAATTATCTTTAAATACAAAAATTTTTAAATAGTTCAAAATTAAAAAGGTAGAAAAAAGATACACTACGCTAATATCAGTTAACTCAGCTAGACTCTTGCTGAATTGCTAAGTTCCCCAGCCTGGGCTTGAACTTGTGATCCTCCTGTGCTACCACACCTGGCTAGATTGTAATTTTGTAATGATAGGAGTTTAATTAGTCAGCCAACAATAAGAGAGGCTTAGGGTATAGCTTCGTGGTACAAGGCATGCCTGGCATGCACAAAACCCCATTTGAATCCCCAGTATAGCAACAACAAAATCCTAAATGCTCGTGGTCCGGATGACAGCTTTGATTACATAACACAAAACCTAACAGAACTACAAGGAGAAATAAACAAATTCACAATTATAGTTGGGGATTTCAATATCTCTCTATAATTGATAGAAGAAGCAGACAGAAAATCATTGTAGTGGACTTGAATAACACTGTTCACCAACACAACTTCTAAATGACATTTAGAGAACACTACTCTTAACACTAGGGTTTATATTCTATTTAAGCGCACACACAATCTTCAGGACTGTAAGACAAGGCTCAGTAAATCTAAAGAAATTTAGATCATATGAAGTGTATGCTTTTTTCTTTTTTCTTTTGTCTTTTTGAAACAGGGACTCACTGTGCAGTTCAGGCTGGCCTTGAGCTCACTTTGTAGCCCAAGCTGGCTTTGAGCTCACAACAATCCTCCTGCCTCTGCCTCCTGAGTACTGCGATTACAGGAGTGCACCACCACATCTGGCTCTCATATGAAGTATATTCTTTACCCACAGTAAAATTAAACATCAGGGCTGGGAATTTAACTCAGCGGCACAGTGCCTGCCTGGCAAGTGCAAGGTTGTGAGTTCGATTCCCGATACCGGAAGAAAAACAACAACAACAAAAAAAATTAAACATCAGTAACAGAAAGATATATGAAATTCTTCCAAACATATGGGAACTAAAAAACATACCTTTACAAAATCCACTGGTTAAAGAAAAAATCAAAAGAGAAATTAGAAAGTACACTGAAATACCAGACATGGAGGCGCACACCTGTAATCCCAGCACTGGGAGGCTGAGGCTGGAGAATCACTGTGAGTTCAACACAAGCCTGGGCTACATAGTGAGCTCAAGTCCAGCCCGAACTACATAGCAAGACCCTGTCTCAAAAAAAGGAAAAAGTATACGAATCAAATGAAAATAAAAATGCAACTTATCAGAATTTGGAACACACTACTGAAACTTCAGGGGTAAATTTATAGCACCCAACACCTACATTAGTAAAGCAGGCTTCAAATCAGTGGCCTCACCTGCTGCTTAAGAAACTACTTAAAACTGCTAGCCAGGTGTGGTAGCACACGCCTGTAATCCCAGCACTCGGGAGGCTGAGGCAGGAGGACGGCTGTGAGTTTGAGACCAGTCTGGGCTACAAAGTGAGCTCAAGGCCAGCCTGAACTGTACAGCGAGACCCTGCCTCAAAAAGTTCAAAAAGAAAGAAAGAAAGAAAGAAAAAAGAAACTACTTAAAACTGCTGTTTTAAGAAAAACAAGAACAAATTAAACCCAAAGTAATCAGAAGAAAGAAAATAATAGCATCTGAACTGGGACCAATAAAATAGAAAGTAAAGAAACAACAGAGAAAACGAATGAAGCTAGAGCTGGTTCTTTGAGATCCGTGTTTACTGAATGCCTTCTATGGGTCAGGTCCTGTTTGAGTCACTGGGGGTAGCGGTAAACACAACAGACAAAAAACCCAGGTACAGTCCCTTATGTGGGCCTTTGAAACAGCTTGTTCCTTCTGCCCAGAATGCTCTCCTCCCCTTTTATCTACTTGTCTCATTTTCTTGCTTTTTTCTTCTCAAAGCAGTGACAGATTTTTTTTCTTTCCTTCTCTGTTTCTTTTACTTTTCAAAATAAAAGATTTAAGGACTTTTCTGATGTAAGTGTTGGGCGCTATACATCTATTCTGAAATTTCACCAATATCTTACAAATTTGGATATGGTGCGGTATTTTCACTTAATTCAATATACTTCTCATTTTTCTTTTGATTTCTTCCTTTCTTTTCTTTCTTCCTTTGCTTCCTGCGGACCTTTCTATATAGCCCCACTAAAATATATAATCCGTAACAATAAGCTTTTGTCTGTTTTCCTCACTGCCATACCTCTCATATCTTTTTTTTTTTTTTTTTTTTTGACCGAGAATCGAACTCACGAACTTGCACTTGCCAGGCAGGCGCTTGTGCCGCTGAGCTATCTCCCCGGCCCCTTCCACTCATATCTAAAATAGGGTCTGAAACGTGGTAGTACGTGAGAAGTATTTAGTTAACAGATGTATCTCTGTTCTCATGGAACTTACATTCCTGAATTTAAGATGTGAAGACCAGTGCTCACAAGACAAGCTCACAGAGTCAAGGGCAAGTCTTAATTTTGGAAATCAAAGTCTAAGGCTCATAAATCGGGAGCTAAGGATCAAGATCCCATTTGGAGGTTAGAGGTCAGGAGGAACCTGAGCCAGTGTTTTAACAAAGGTCACCAAGCTGGGGTCAGGAAAGTTCAAATCGGGTTTTGGGATCTGTCCGTAGGATGTGGATCCCAGGAGGTGAAAACAGAAGGTTCGAAATGACTGGGTTTGGATGAAAGTAGGAGATCGGTTCTGTTACAAGTTAGGACTTTGGGGTAAGGGATCAGGAACCCCAGCGTCGGAAGTCAGACTTAGAAGTAAAAGGTTAGGAGGCAACAGGCAGCAGAGACTGATAGGGAAACAGATGTCGGATTCTAGGGCTCCATTTGGCAGTCTAAGGTTCACTCACGTGTCCCCGTCCTCAGTGACGTAGCCAAAGACGAGGGGCGCCCACGACAGCCCTGGGCCCAATTCTGCTCCCAGCCCCGAACCTCCGGGAGCCGCTGCATCCGGACCCAGAGAGCCCAGGCCGCTGTCACACCATTCATCAGCGTCCGTAGCTTTTCCCAAGCACGCGACCCCAGCCATGGCCCCAACCACCTCCGTGACCCCCTACGGCCACCCGCCGTCTGGGCTCTGCGGGGAGCTCGAGCGCTTCCGCCCTACTGGGAATTCCCCAACACTCCCCCTAATTTACCCAATCAAAGTACAGTAAATTGCTCACGTCCCGCCCCCATGCCTACTATGACCAATCAGAGTATTCAGATAAGTTACGGCTCTCTAGTCGTCCCTCAATTTTCCGGGCGCCCTTTACCAATATGGCTGCCACTCCAGTCCCTCTGGGACTTGTAGTCTGGTCCTCGCGTGGCGCGCGCCGGCAAAGCGTGAATAGTTGCCTGTGGCCGCAATGGCTGTTGGGAGTTGTAGTTCTCTGCTCTATCCCTGACCCTCCTGCTTCCGGTGCCGTCACGGGACAGAGCAGTCGGTGACAGCCCCGAGGGCCCCTCCCCGCTCCCATGGCCGAGCCGGACCGTGAGTCAGGGACCCCGGTGGGAGGGTCGGGTCGCGCCGGGGCCTGACTGAGGGCTGCAGGCCCCGGGGCCCGAGGGCAGGTGCGGTAGGCGGGAGGTAAGGGCTGCCTGGAGGGAGTGGGATTCGGGCGACCGTTGCTAAATGGTTCATATCGCTGGTTGGCGGGTCGGGTTACGAGTTTCAAGGGTCCGTTTGGCATGTCCGTTTGCCAAGTTACTACTGATCGCATGTTTCTCGCTCTTTGGTTGCTAAAGACCCTCATTACTAAGGATCTAAGTGGCCGCGGTCCTGGTTGCTAAGGGTACCTGTTGTTAGGGGCAACTGTAGGATGCTAGAGGGGACGCCCCCCCCCCCGGTGTCCCCTCCTATCTCTTCCCTCTAGTTCCTGTGCCTCTTCTACCACCTCCACTGCCCCTCTCTCCCAAGCCTGCCTGGCAGCGGAGGTATCTCTTATCTACTCTTCCTGACAAACTTCCCTCCCTCTGCTTTGTAAACCTAACCCTCCAATACTCACACTCACACTGCCTTTCTAACTCCTCCCAAGTCTTCCTTCAGCCGTGTCTCCCCTGATATCTCCTCTCCGTAAACGTTTTTGTTCTCAGCCTCTTCGCCCCTGACTAATCTCCACTCCAAGATCCGCTTTGCTCCATCCTCCCCTCCGTGTTTTATTTTTGCCACCACCCGACCCCAGTGCAACTAGGTTGGTGGGTCTTCTGGCCCCACCTGACACTTGAACCCTTTTGTTCCCCTCTTAACCATTCCCCCCACTGTAACCACGTCTGCTCCCCCTCCTCCCCAGCCTCTGACCCTCTGGAGACCCAGGCAGGGAAGGTGCAGGAGGCTCAGGTGAGATGCGGAAGGGGCGGAGGGAAGGAGAGAGATGGACTTGCTCCCCCATCCCACACTGGCGGGAGGTGGCAGACGGGAGAGTGTTACCCCCAACCCTCGGCCCATTGCCCCGACCCCTGGCCCCACCTGGCACAGCTTCCTGGGGACTGTCAGAGACAAGCGTGCACCTCAACCCCAGAGCCCCCCCCCACAACTTCCTCTTTGCTCTGGGCCCTCCAACCCCATTTGTGCTGCGCCTGGAAGGGACAGGTATCCAACTTGGCTCCTGAACTCACAGATCTCATGGGCAGGTGACAGAATGACCCTACAGGGTGATGTGGAAGTAACTCAGGGCACTGTAGGAGCCAGAGCAAACTGTGGGTTACAGAAGACTCCCACTGGGCCCTTCCTAGAGGAACCCACAGGCTGGTCTAGGCATCAGACCGAGTTATAGACACTGCAGAGTAAGTGAAGAGTGCCTTAGAATTTTCTTAGACAAAGGGGGAAATGGTGTTCCCTGCAGACAGTACAGCTTGTGCAGAGACCTGGGGCAGGAAAGAGTGGGATGCATTGCTTCGGTGGTTGGGTGGCTCGTGATATGCGTGGCTAGTGTTTGTTGTCCCCTTACCCCAGCCAGGAACTCTGCTCGGTGCTGCTTGGCCACTGTCTCCTTTAATTTTCCCAGCATGTCTTTGAGGGGTAAGGCCCACCACTGCTATTTTACAGACAAGGAGCTTGAGGCAGAGCTGTTAGGCAACTTGTCCTTAGGAACAGGGAAGGGTTTGAGACCCATGGCACTGGGCACACTGCCCTCTGGACGGGCAGGGAGAGGACGCTTGAAGGCACCTCCCGCATGCTGGGCAGGCCCCTCCCCGACAGTGCCTCACCGACTACACTCTGACAGAATGCCAGCCAACCCACACCCATGACACTCTTCATATGTAGGTCAGAAGCTCTGATTAGGCTAGGTGTGGTGCATATGCCTATACCCGCAGCCCTTTGGAGGCTGAGGCAGGAGGATATCGCAAGTTTGTCCTCAGCCTGGGCAACTCAGCACCTAGTGAGACCCTGTCTCAAAATAAAAAAATACAGAGATGCAGATGTAGCTTAGTGTAAAGGCCCTCAGTTCAATCCCTGGTATTGAAGAAAAAAAAAAAAGCAGCTGTGATTACTCCACAAAGGGACTGCAGAGCTGTCGAGAGAATGACAGCCTCCTGTCAGTCCTCAGTGTCTCATTGGCCTGGGTCCCAGAGCACAACCATGGCCTGAGAAAAGGTCTCATGGTCGAAATGGATCTTCAGTACCGAAGAGATATGAGGACGTGAACTCCAGCATTGTCCGTAATAGGGCAAGACTGGAAACACCCCAAACGGCTGTCAAGAGCCGGGTTAAATGCACTGCGGTTCATCCTACAGTGCAATGCTGTGTAGCTGCTTAAACGAACAAGGTGGGTCTATGCTATACTGTTAAGTAGAAAATGCAGTGGGTTGACTTATTTCTGTAAAAAAAAAAAAAAAAAAAGACTTTTTAAACACAGAGAACAAATCTGGAGTAAGTTGCTCTATTAATAATGTCATCTCAGAAGGTTGGGCCAGGGAAATCACAAGAGGAGAGCCCATGTTACATGTCTATGGCCAGAGCTTTGGTGAAGCTTGTGTAATCTTTAAAACAAATAAAAAGTTTCAGTATGTTTGCAAGTTTAGAAAGTCTCCGAAACAAGTAGCAAGTAGCCTGGGGGAGGGGCGGGCGGAGGGCCATGTCTATGGCCAGAGCTTTGGTGAAGCTTGTGTAATCTTTAAAACAAATAAAAAGTTTCAGTATGTTTGCAAGTTTAGAAAGTCTCCGAAACAAGTAGCAAGTAGCCTGGGGAAGGGGCGGGCGGAGGGCCTGCGCACGCGGGAGGCCGAGCCGGGGGCTGCGTGTTCGGCAGCGCCGTTGGGGGCCAGCGCGGGGCCAGCGCGCCCCAGGCGTGTTCGGTGGCCGACGCTCCGCAAGCGCCGCCCCGGAGATGGGTGCTCAGTGGTGAGCAGGGACGGGCCCTGCCCTCGTGTTGCCGACAGCATCAGGCTGTGGCGATGTTTGTGATCGGAGGATGAGATGGAGAAGCCAGAGAGGGGCCGCTGGAGTGGAGGATGTGGACGGGCCGTCACGCGGACGCTGGTGGATGGGGTGCCTGGCGAGGCAGGAGGCAGGCTGAGGGACAGCGAGGCCCCTCTGAGAGGCGCCTTGGCGGCGGCGGAGGAACAGCAGGCAGGAGATGCTGAGGCTACTCTGGGACAGGGTGGGAGGGAGAGACCTGGGGATCACATGGCGAGGTTTCCAGGAAGCCTCGGGAACCCTGAGCGAGGTGGCATCGTCAGTGACTACGCCAGGCTGTTGGCACAGATAGGTATGGCAGGTGGCCAGGGAAAGCAGGAAGGGCCCAGGACAGAGTCTCAGAGCGCTGCAGTTGGGAGGGCCCAGGAGTGAGCAGCAGGCCTCTGGCAGGCGTTATCTGCGGCTGCCTGCTTGGGCAGGCTTGTGAGGCTGCTGGAGAGAGACAGCGGGCCCATTTTCCAGGGGACAGGGGCGCCGGCATGCAAGGAGAGCAATGCCCAGGGCTCCCTGAGCATTGGTGCTGTGCCAGACGCCTCCCATGTAGTACCTGGGCCCATCCTCACCTCAGCCCTCTGTGCTCCGTTCTCAAGATGAGGAGCGTGAGAGCCCGCAGGTGAAGGCACGCTCGAGGTTCCGCTCCTCAGGAGCAGCAGGCGCAGGTCTCCCCAGGGAACCTGTCCCAAAGCCTGCATACCACCACACCGTCCTTCACTCCCCTGGGCCACCTCCCAGCCAGAGCCTTCCCTCCCCAATCCAGCACCCCCCACCCCCTCCCCTTCCTTCCTAACCCCACCTCTTGGGCATGGCCACCCCACCCCACCACTTCCAGGACACAGACTCAGACGCTGAAGAAGGCGCATCCGGCGGAGAGGCAGAGAGTGAGTGTCTTCCTTGGGGGGCCCTGGGGGGTGCGATTTTAGAGCAAGGGTCTGGGGATACCACCTCCCCTCCACCAGGAGTGACATTCAAAGTACGTAACTTTGTTGGGTGTGGTGGCCCATGCCTGTAATCTCAGCACTTGGGAGGCTGAGGCAGGAGGATCATAAGGCTGAGGCCAGCCTGAGCTACATGGCAAATTCCCAGGCCACTGTGGACTGCAGAGTGAGACCCTGTCTCAAAAAACAAAACAAAACAGTATGCAGTATAAGACTTGGCACCAGTGCCGAGCAGGACTGGGCCAGGCCGTCGCTCCTTCAGTGGGAGGAGAGGGCGGTACCCAGGGCTGGGGTGGACCCCACGCATCCTTGCTGAACACCCACCCAGCTGCTGTCTCTCCTTATCAGTGGACTTCCTGAGGAATTTCTTCTCCCAGACCTTGGGCCTGGGCTCCCAGAAGGAGCGTCTACTGGACGAGCTCACTCTGGAAGGGGTGGCCCGCTACCTGCAGAGCGAGCGCTGTAAGTCACCCCCACCCACCACTTTCCTCCTCCTGGCCCCATGTGACTTCACATCTGTTGCTTATGAGTAGCGAGAAACCCAGCTCTTTGCCAAAAAAGGAATGTGTAGACCCGAAAACACAGCTGCAGGCATGGCCTGATCCAGGGGCTCCCATGTTCTCCAAAGTCACAACTTCTTGGTGTGGGGGTAAAGCTAACTCCAAATGCAAGTTCTACCAGCCTAGCAACTACTCCTCAAAGACCATGCCTTTTTGCTAATGGTCCAAGGAAAACTGTAGAGATTGACTCCCATTGGCCCGGGCTGAACTAGTTTCTCCCTGTCTGATTGGCCAGACCTGGGTCACATCTCTGTTGCTGAATGAATTACTGTGCTGTGATAGGCCAGACCTTTTTCCTAGAATGAGGACAGTAATAATGCCTCATGGGATGACTGGGGGCTAAACCCACTAAGAGAAATGTGACCGCTTGGAGCAGGGCCGGGACTTCACAAGGGCTGTGCAGGTGTTCGCCGTGGTCATTGTTACCAGAGGCGTTTCAGGTGCGGTGTGTAAGTGCCTGCTGGCTGGGTCCCCATGAAATGTATATTCCTTGCTGTGAGTTGAGTCACCAAAGTCTGAGAAACCAGGCCTCAGCAGTCCTCAGCAGGCACAATGGGCCTTTTGAGGGTCCTGAACAGCCCTTTGTTGAGGACGTCTTCTCCGGTTTCCCCGTCCTCCAGCTGCTGCCGTCTCCCTCCTCTGGGGCTGGCTGGGCAGCTGCCCGCAGCCATCCCCTGGCCTGGACAGCCAGAAGAGACTCCAGGGAGTAGCTGCAAAGTGTTTGTTCCTCCTATCCTCTTGTACCTAGGTCTTGGAGTAGTTGGCCCCTGAGTGTGTCCATGAAGGAACATTGTACTAAAGCTGGGCATGGTGGTGCAGTCCTATAATCCCAGCAATCTGCAAGGCTGAGGCAGGAGGATTGCAAGTTTGAACTCAGCCTGGGCAACTTAGCAAGGGATGTAGCTCAGCGTCAAAGGTCTGGGTTCCATCCCTAGTACTGCAAAAGAAAAAATAATTTGAGCCCTCCCTGTTTGCCAGGCTCTGGGCTAGGCACTAGAAGTCCACTTATTTGATCTTCCTGTTGTGACTGTGAGGTCATTACGGCATGACCTGGGCAGAGGAGGAAACTGAGGGACAGCAAGGCTGTGATATGGGGCAGGTCACACAGCTGGCAGGTGGCAGATTGGGATTTGTCCCCAGGTGTCCTGAAAACAGAGCGTATGCTCCCCCTCACCTCCACCCAGGCCTGGTCGGATGGCACCCCAGAGGAAGCAAGGGCCTAGGCTGTGGCAGGCCTTGACCTCTGTTGGTCCTCACCAGCCTTCCATGGACAGGGCACCCCACTCCTGGGGCGTTACACTTGTGTCTGTCTGTCAGCTGACAGGCAGGTGCCAGGGCTCTGTGCGGCAGGGCGGCCCGCCAGCCGTTCGCTGAGGCAGCGGGGCTGTTTGGGCTGCGCCGTGTGTTTGTGAGCCTGTTTGACTACATCCTCCCTGTCTTGTTTTCTGGCCCCGGGTGCACCCTGCAGAACAGAATGTTTACTATGTGTACAAGCAGTGGGTCTCAAGAAGCTCAGTACCACTGACCCAAAGGATGCGAGTCACACATACACTTGTATGTAGTGTTTGTGGTACCAGGCACAATCCAAGCTCTACGTGAATTCGTTCATTCTGGAAGGAGCCTGTGAAGCCAGTACTATAATTATGTCCATTCTACAGAGGAGGAAGTCAGAGCCCCAAGTAGTGATAGGAACAGTGTAAGCTCCCATAGCCACTGGTGAGGAGGAGAGCCGGGATTGGGTCCAGTCTCCATTCTTCTTTCCTGGATGTGGGCTGAGGGTGGCAGATCTTTGGTCTTTGCCTGGAAAGGACCAGGCTTCTGGTAGCTGATATGCATTTGCTTATGGAGGAAAGGAATTTGATGAGAAAATGTAGTAATGTGCTCGAAATTGAAGGTCACCTGCGATCGGGTCCAGAAGATGAGTTGTTGCTTTTTTTTTGTTTTTTTTTTTTTGTTTTTGTTTTTGGTGGTACTAAGGACAGAACCCAGGGCCTTGTCCTTGCTAGGCAAGGGCTCTGTCGCTGAGCTGCACCCCAACCTGAGAGATTTTTAAACTAACCTGCATCTTTTCCTGGAGAATGTGTTTTTGTCTAGTCTACTTAGGAGGAAAAAGTTCTGGTCACATGGTCTCTTCTTCAGTCTTCTTTTCTTTTTTATTTTTCTGTTTGGTTTTTGAGATGGTCTTGTTATGTAGCCCAGGTTGGCCTCGAACTCACTACAATCCTCCTCCCTCAGCCTCCCAAGAACTGGTATTATAGGTGTGCACCACCATACCCAGCATCTCCTTGAGTTTTCTTACATTGGTATCAGTTCAAACAGTGCATTCTTGGCCAGGTGTGATGGTGCACGCCTGTAATCCTAGCACTTGGGAGGCTGAGGCAGGAGGATCCCCATGAGTTCAAGGCCCACTTGAACTGTGTAGGGAGACCCTGTCTCAAAATAAAAAAACAAACAAACAAATCAAACAGTGCATTCAGCCAGTCGCTCTCTTCCCTGCTCTGGAACTTGGTGTCCTCATCTGTAAGTGGGGGCCAATAACACCATCACCCTGAAGATGCTGGGAGAATCATCAGGCATCTGAGGTGCTTGCCTCACGCCTAATATGGAGGAAGCAGCATCACAGCCATGATGAGTGATGATATCAGCTGAGCAAACTGTCAGATGATGTTGCCTTCCTGTCTTCCAGGCCGCAAGGTCATCTGTTTGGTGGGAGCTGGAATCTCCACTTGTAAGTTCCCGCAGGAATGAGGGAGCCCTCCACAGGCTAGGGAGGGGCACTGTCTGCGTCCAGTCTGGAAGGAGGGTCAGTGCAGTGGAGATGGGGCCAGCATCCCCAATCACTTGTCCCCTGCGCCTCCTATCCCAGCGGCCGGCATCCCTGACTTCCGCTCTCCGACCACCGGCCTCTACGCCAACCTGGAGAAGTACCACCTTCCCTACCCCGAGGCCATCTTTGAGATTGGCTATTTCAAGGTATCTGTCTGTAACAAGGGGTTGAGGGGGCGCCTGCTCCAACTCTCACGTCACCTGGGGCGTCGGGCCCTCTGGCGCTGTCTCCCACAGAAACATCCAGAGCCCTTCTTTGCCCTCGCCAAGGAACTGTATCCCGGGCAGTTCAAGGTGAGACCCTACTCAGCAGGGCAGGCGGGGAGAGCAGGCTCGGAAGGCCCCCTCCAGGCCTGCTGACAGTTATTAGAGAGGCACCACGGAGGCAGGCTGTGAGCCCGGCTGCCAGGGTTCAGCTCCTGCCCCCGCATCTCATTTTGAGACCACGAGCCTCACTTTTGCCATCCGTAAAGTGAAGCTCATGTTGGCATCTGGAAAGGGTTGTTGTAAGGTGTAAATGAGTTAGTGTGTTAGTGCCTGGTTGCACACGCTAGCCCTGCGGCTGCCTGATCGTGTCAGCCAGGCCTCGGTCTCCTCGTCTGAGGAGCAGGGGTGGAAGGGGGACGCGGGTCTCCCTCACGAGGCCCTTGTGATGATTTTATGAAGAAAAACAGACACCGCGCCCAGGACCGTCCCTGGCGCGTGGCGACGGTGCGTAAATGCTCTCTGACGTCAGCATTGCCGTTGCTCCCCGCCAGCCGACCATCTGTCACTACTTCATCCGCCTGCTGAAGGAGAAGGGGCTGCTCCTGCGCTGCTACACACAGGTAGGCAGCGCTGCGGCCGGGCGCTGTGGGCACCGCGGGGCACGGGGCCTGGACAGGCCGGGGCTCCTTCCTCCGAGAGGCGGAACTTCGTGCCCGTGAGCTCGGGGCTACCCAGACACATGGGGCCGGGGCTCTGCCGCCTGCTTCCCCGCTGTCTGGCCTGTACTGACCTACTTCCTCTCAGCCTCAGTCTCCCCTGTGTGAGATAGGAGCCAGAGCAGCTTCCTCCTCTCAGGGTTTGGAGCGGCAGTGAACTCCCCTCAGGCCATCTCACTCATTGTGCAAAAGGACCCCAGGTTAAAAAAAGGAAAAACCACAAGACCCTGTGTCTGAGGGGGGCGGCTTGCGGTGGCAGCCATAGTCCAGACCTCCTATTGCTCTGCCGACAGCAAAGTGACTTGAGCCAACAAAACAGGTGCACTGTGACAATATCCCATGTTGTTTCTGAAGGAAGGGGCGCCTTGTCTGAATTCCACATTGAGAAATCTGGCAGTGGGTGTGCCATGGGCCTTGGCTTGCGTGTGCCAGGCTACGTGGCCAAGGGCAACTCACGCTGCTGGCTTCTGGACGATGCCCGGAGACTCCCGGAGTCTCACACTCCATCAGGAGAACGTTGGCTTTGTGAAATGGGGCAGTGTCCTGCAGGGGGGCGGCTTGTGGTGGCAGTGGGGAGGGGACAGTCTCCTCCTTCCAGGAGCCACCGAAGCGCAGGCCACACCTGACCAGGGAGCCAGCTTCACTCGCGGGCCGAGGCTCGGTCGTGATAGCGCGGTTCCTGCCGCATGTTTCCACGTGTGACGCTGCAGTCTTCCCGTATTACTCAGCTTCAGTGACAGCAAATGTCTGCTCGTGCCCCAACCCAGTGCCAGGCCCTGCCCCCGGCAAACAGAGCAGACATCCCTGCCCTCCAAGCTGACACTCGTGTGGGAGGTGACAAGGACAAGATGGAGAAGCCACAGACCTAGCGTGGTGACAGGTGTCTGGAGCATAGTTAAACAGAGAGGATCAAAGCTGTGTGTGTCAGGTGGCCCTGGAGGCCTTACTGAGAAGGGGACTTTTAAGCAAAGACCTCAGAAGCAAGGGAAGGAGCCTGCAGCTATGGGGGTGGGGGTTGTGTTCCAGATGAAAGGAAGAGCCAGTGCAAAAGCCCTGAGGTGACACTGTATATGGCACATGCAAAGAACCCCCAGAAGCTAGGGATGGTGGCACACACCTGCAACCCCAAACTGGAGAGGCGGGGTCTACGTGGGCGCTGAGAAGAGCTGAAGGAGAGAGGAGAGGAGACAACGTCAGGGAGGTGCCCAGGCTGGATGCTGCTGGCCCCTGTGAGCTGGGCAGGGACAGCTTCGTCCCTTCTGCAGCTGGAGCCGTGGAGCCCTCTGGGTGGGGAGGGGTGTGACCTGACTCAGGTGAGCACAGGCTCCCTCTGGCTTCCCGTGGGGACAGACTGAGAGGGAGGCGAGGGCGACAGGGACAGGCTGCAGGCCGCTGTGATGCTGAGGGGGGAGGAGGAGGCCGGAGAGGGTGAGCCATTGAGGTGACGTGGGCGGCTCCTGGGTCCACTGTGAAGACGGAGCCAGGGGCTTTGCGGATGGACTGCTGTGGCCGGGAGGGTGGATGGACCGGGGAGGCAGCTAGACCAGGGCCTGGGCCGGAGCTCAGAGATCGCAGTGCAGCAGCAGTGGGTGCTGTGTATTCACCAGCCAGGATGAGAAACAGGCCTCAAACGCAGGCACCTGGGAGGGCCACTCAGCTGCTTGCTGACAGCTCTCTTGAAGGCAAAACACCCCAGCACTTGAAGCCAGGTGTGATACCACAACCTGTAATGCCAGCACTTCGGAGGCTGAGGCAGGAAGTTCATGAGTTCGAGGCCAGCCTGGGCTACATGTCAAGCCCCTGTCTCAAACAGAGCCAAAACAAAAACAAAACACTCAGCCCTTAACCAGAGAGCACAAGACCGTGTGCTGTTTTCACCAGAAAGCCAACATGACTACGTTTGGTCAGCCTGAAATACGCAATCATCTCCTCCTCACCTGCAGTTTTAATTCATTTAAAAGGTTGTCTGTACTCGCTCATGTTGAGTAAATGCAGTGCCAGGGTGCCAGGCTGGTCTCAAACTCCATGGCTCAAGCATCCTCCTGCTTCAGCCTCCCAAATTCTAGGACTCCAGGTGCCCTAGCACCCAACTTCCTACCTGCCATAATTAACACATGAATTTACCACCACATAGAGATTTTCAGCAACTTTATCGCATAAGGTACGTCAAGGTGAAAAACCTGTTCCACAGCCACATTGGACGAAATGGTTTGACTCGAGCACTTTGTCTTCTTCCACCATGTGCCCTGCCAGTCGCTGACCTGGTTTTCCAGAGCACACTGACTTCCCAGCCGGAGTTGTGGCGACTCAGCACTCCAGGAGTGCCGTGTGATGCTATGTTTAGCTCCCCCCACAGGACCCAGTCACACAGTTGGGCAGCCGGCCTGCTCGCTGCAAGGCCTTCTCAGTTATACACAGGCCGGGGTGTGGCTCGGGCAGAGTGCCGACCTGGAGCACACAAGGCCCCGGGTCCCATCCCAGCTCTGCCAAAAAAAATCTCTGTCTGTGGTATTCACGCTATTCATGAGGCTCCATACTTGGCTTTTTTTCACTGAATTTTTTTTCCTGAAGACCCTTGCATATCCATTCCTGCAGAGCAGCTTCGTGCTTTTTCAAACCAGAGTCTCATTCTTTTTTTTTTTTTTTCCTTGTGGTGCTGGGGCTGGAACCCAGGACCTCATATGTACCAGGCAGGCACGTGCTGTGCCACTGATACCCCGGCCTGAGTCTTTTTTTTTTTTTTTTTTGAGATAGGGTTTCACTATGCAGTTCAAGCTGGCCTTGAACTCACTGTGAAACCCAGGCTGGCCTCAAACTTGCAGTGATCCTCCTGCCTCAGCCTCCCTAGCGCTGGGATACCACACCTGACCTCCAGTCTTATTCTTTTGTAAGCACTTTGCCTTCCTTTACAGATTGCAATGCAAAGGTCACAGCTGAGGAGAGCACCCCAGCCCCCCATTTCTCTCCTCAGCCTAAATCTACATCAGTGAAGGGGAAAAAATAAGAACATTGTTGAGGGGAACAGGCTCTGTGTGTGTGTGTGTGTGTGTGTGTGAGAGACATACTAGGACTTGAACCCAAGACCTTCATACTGAGCTGTATCCCCAGCCCTTTCTATTTATTTATTTATTTTAAGTTTTGAGATGAGGCCTCCCTATTTGCCCCGGCTTGAACTTGTGATCCTCCTGCTTCCATTTCTCCGAGTGCAGGGATGACAGGCGTACAGCACGATGCTTGCTTTGTTAAGGGACTATGTCCTTTGGCCACAGAATATACTTCCACAGGATGCTACAGTGTCCCCAGGCAATATAATCTTTCTGTTCTGCTACTGGGGGTTGACCCAAGGTATCACCTATGATAATAATGTGTTTTACACTAAGCTGCACCCTTACCCAGGCCCTTTCTCGAGACAGGATCTCACCACGTTGCCCAGGCTGATCATGAACTACTGGGCTCAAGTGATCCTCCTGCCTCAGCCTCCAGAATATAGGACCTGGGACTATAGGCACATCCTTCTGTATCCAGCCAGGCAATACAATCTTTTGGGACCATTGTCACATATGTGGCCCACAGTTGACCAAAACATCATCAGGTGACACATGGCTGTGTGAGAATTTGTGTACTTTTGCTTGATTATAGAGTAATTCCAAAGGGGATACAAGAAACAGGTCACAGCAGTAGCTTCTGGCGAGGGGAGCTGGCCAGTGGAGGTTGCTCAAAAGTAGTTCCTGGCTGGGCATGGTTGTACACAGCTGGGAGGCTGTAATCCCAGCTGGGAGGCTGAGGCAAGAGGATCTCTGTAGGTTCAAGGCCAGCCTGCACTACATAGCAAGACCCTGTCTCAAAAACCACAAAAAAGTAGTCCCTACTAAAGGGTTCAGTCCCTAGTTTTGAAGAAAAAAAAAGGAATACAGATTAATATGTCATCTGTAAAACAGATCATAATAAGAGCTCTGACTGCTAAGTAGGAAAATAATGTAATTAAAACCAAGTCAGAGCTGGGCGTGTGGCGGTGCACGCCTATAATCCCAACACTCGGGAGGCTGAGAGAGGAAGATCACTGTGAGCTTGAGGCCAGCCTGGGCTACATAGTGAGATCCTATCTCCAAAAACAACAACAACAAAAAAGCAAAGAAGCCCTCCTGACTGTCTGCTTCCCTTCATGCTGGCCTGGGGCTGTGCAGGTTGGGTTCTACACAACGACACCACATCCGAGGGCTCCATTTACAACAGACGTTGTTAATTTGTACATTCGTTTCATCCAATTTCTGGCAAGCGGCAGTAAGACGTCTGGCTCTCCAGTAGAACAATTCTGAAAAATAAGAGTGGCCTCAATTGACAGAAAATGCCATCGGGGCCCGTGGCGGCCGTGGGCCTGGACTCACAGCCGTCGGAGTCGGGGCCCAGCCTTTGCGCAGCCCTGACTGTTCGCCCTTCCGCGGCCCCACTGGGGGGCACGAGTTTTTGCACACACGGACACACCTGCCATCGCTCCCCCTCCCAACTCCTGCTCTCCTGGCCACAGCTCCCCGCCCCGACTGTGGCCCGGAATCCGGTGGGGCGTCCGCTGCTGACCCCTCTTCCCCTCTCGCCAGAACATTGACACCCTGGAGCGTGTGGCCGGCCTGGAGCCCGAGGACCTGGTGGAGGCCCACGGCACGTTCTACACCTCACACTGCACCAGCCAGCTGTGCCGGCGCGAGTACTCTCTGGGCTGGATGAAAGGTGAGGCTGGGGTCGCCCAGGAGGCTGTCAGCACGCTCACACGGCAGCCACCACTCTGGCCTGCTCAGCTCTAAGGTGTTTTTTTTTCCCCAGGGTAGGGGTGGGGTTACAAGGATTTAACCAAGGGCCTTCACACTAAGCTACATCCCCAGACTTTTTTTTTTCAAGTTCTGAAACACAGCCTTATTAAGTCACTAAGTTGCCCAGGCTCAGCTCAAACTGGTGATTGTCCTGCCTCAGCCTCCCTGAATGCTGGAGTCGCTGTCCCTGTCCATGTAAGGACAGAGTGTCCTGGAGACACAGTCAGCCAGTCTGCACGCGTGGAGAGCCGCTTCTGACAGCACCCTGCTGTGTGAGAAGCCCCGTCTCACCCCAGGACCCCCTGACCTTCTTTATGCCAACTGAACAAAGCCGCTGGTGTCCCCATGAGGTCAGGACAGCGGCGGCTTCTGTAGCAGGGCCTGGGGAGGGTGTCCTTTCTGACAGAACGCCAGCTGACCGCCCCCAGGCTGACAATTCGTGACCAGCCCAACTGCACACAGCTGGGGTGACATACAATGGCCATCGCCCCATTACGTCCCTCGGCAGTGTCACCCACACCACCCACAAAATAGCCTGTTGTGCGTGTAGCAGTCCCCTAATGGCAGCTGTGGACGCTGCACTCCATCATGTGGGCTGGGAAGAACAAGAGGATGTGTGGGCCCCCGTGTTCCGGGTCCGTCCACTCCCAAGCTCCCTCATCCATTAGCAGTGCGGATGGCAACTGGCGCAGAGGGAGGGGGGAAGCAGCTGGGCTAAGGTTCTGCCCCATCCGAGGAGCGTCTGCATGTCCTCCCTGCCCTGCTGCTCCCAGGGCTGGCAATTGCCAGGCTTCTCTGCCCCAGGACCCCCTGGGAGACCTGTACTCACAAAGCTCCGAAGAGGAGGCTCAGGCTCCAGGCAGGCAGCTGCTTCTGTGTTCACTTTTTTTTTTTTCTTTTTTAAGCCAGGATCTTGCTGTGTAGTTCAGCCAGGCTTTGAACTCACTACATACCCCAGGCTGGCCTCAAACTCTCAGTGATAAACTCTGTGATCCTCCTGCCTCAGCCTCCCAAGTGCTAGGATTATAGGCATGGACCACCACACCTAGCTTCTGTGTTCACTTTTTCATTTAAAATAGCTGTAGCTAGGGGTGGCGCACACCTGTAATCCCAGCACTCAGGAGGCCAAGGCAGGAGGATCACAAGTTCAAGGCCTTGCAAAACTGTCCCCAAATAAAAAATAGAAAGGGCTGGGGATGTAGCTCCATGCCGAGGCCCTGGATTCAATCCACAGCAACCCCAGAGGGAGGGAGAGGACAGGGCAACACCCAGGAGACAACCCAGTGGCTGGGTGTTTGTGCTGGCAGTGAGAAAGGGCAAGCGGGGGAGGAGGGGAGGAATGAAAGTAGGGGAAGAAAGGGCAGGAGGGGGAGGGGGAGGGGGAGGGGAGGAAGTGAGGAAGGAGAGGAGGAAGGAAAGGAAGGGGAGGGGAGGGAAGGGCCAGAGGAGGAGGAGGAGAGAACTGCAGCCCCAGCCTCACACCCCTTTCTCCCCTTGCTTATGCCAGAGAAGCTCTTCTCCGAGGTGACCCCCAAGTGCGAGAAATGCCAGAGCGTGGTGAAGCCTGGTGAGCCTCGGGGTCAGGGAGCAGCGGGGTGGATTTGGGCCAGGGTCCCCACTCCCTCTGCCCTCCCAAAAGCCGCGCTTCCCCCACCTCTGCCCCCTGAGCGGTGCCCCCGTCGTCCTTCGGAGAGTGGGTCCTGTCCCTCCGGCTGGCCGCTCTCCGTCTCCATGACACTGACTCCTCCTCCGACTCTGGGTCTGTCTGTCCTTCCATCCGTCTCTGCCTCCACCTCAGACATCATCTTTTTCGGTGAGAACCTCCCACCGCGGTTCTTCTCCTGCCTGCAGTCAGTAAGTTTGCCCCCAACCCCCGCCTGCCCTGGGGGAGGCCGCGCCCCGTCCCTGGGGGCTGGGCAGGGCCGCGGGTCTCACTCCGCTGCCCGCAGGACTTCCGGAAGGTGGACCTCCTCATCATCATGGGCACCTCGCTGCAGGTGCAGCCGTTCGCCTCTCTCATTGGCAAGTAGGTTGGGGTCGGGGCTGTGGGGGCGGCTGGGGCCGGGGAGGCCAGGAAAGATCCTGACGCCCAGCTCACCGTCCCCCAGGGCACCGCTGTCCACCCCGCGCCTGCTCATCAACAAGGAGAAGACGGGCCAGGTGAGTCGCCTGGGCCGCTGCCCCCGCCCTCTGTTCTCCCGTCGGCTCCCTAGGGGCTGGGACTGTGAGCCCGGGACAGGCCCTGGAGAGCTCCCAACCGGGGCATGGCGGCCTTCAGACTCCCCAGCTCAGACCCTGGGGTCTGCGCACGGGGAGGGGCAGCTTCTAAGCTACCTGGACTCTACAGGCCTCTGAGGCCTTTAGGACCCTTTCGAACAAGTGACTGGATCCCAACCCCAGCCTGCTGAAGCCTGGTGTTGTGTTCCCTAGGACCACAAAACCAGGGGAGGGGACAGGGCACAGCGGGATGCAGGGCCATCCACAGTTCAGGGGCCACTGCTGTGTTTCTCCTGGCTGTCACGGGGCGGCCCCCTCCCAGGCGTTGCTTCCTGCTGAACCTTCAGGGAGAAGCCCCCAGGGAGCGGGGTCCCCTGACAGGGAAACGGGGCCCAGATGTCAGGCAGGCACAGTCATTCTGTGGGCCACACACTGTTCCATTTGACAGTCATCCCCGTGACAGAGGGGACCCGTTCCACCATCCCTTCAGATACATAAATGCAAGCGTGCCTCAGCCCCTAACATGCAGTGAAGTATCTGCACAGCACCCACACACATCTGCGCATGTATTTTAAATCCTCTGTGTGTCACTACCATGCCTAATACAGTGTCAGTGCTATACAGAGATCTATTGCACTGTCCTGTTCAGGGAATAAGAAAAAGAAGCTATAGCTGGGTTTAGAGGTAAATGCCTATAATCCCATCTCTCTAGGAGGCTGAGGCAGAAGGATCTCAAGTTTGAGCCCAGCCTGCCCAATCTATCAATTTTATGAGACTGTGTCTCAAATATAAGAAATGAAAACAAAAGGCCAGGATATAGCTTAGTGCAAAGGCTCTGGGTTCAATCCTTGGTATGGGGGAAAAAAACTGGGGCACTGAGACATGACGATTGTATTTTTTGTTGTTTTCTTGAGACAGGGTCTTACCATGTAGCCCAGGCTGGCCTTGAACTCAAAGCAGTCCTCCTGCCTCAGCCTCCTGAGGGCAGGGATTGCAGGTGTGCAGCACCATCCCTAACTTGGGATTGTAAATGTGAGTCTCGCCTGGGCAATTTAATGAGAACCTGTCTCAAAAAAAAAAAAGCAGCAGGGCATAGTAGTACTATGCCTATGGTGATACCCTGTCTCAAAAAGGCTGGCAATGTATGTAGTTCAGTGTGAAGACTCTTGGTTGAATTCCTACTACTGGAAAAATAAAAAATTAAAGTATATATGTTAAATACAGACACCATGTTTTTGATTTTTTTGTGGGTTTTTTGTGTGTGTTTGTTTTTGAGACAGTGTCTCACTATGTAGCCCAGGCTGGCCTCAAACTTGTGGTGATCCTCCTGCCTCAGCCTCCTGAGTACTTGGATTACAGACAATTTGTAATCCCAGCACTCAGGAGGCTGAGGCAGGAGGATCACCATGAATTGGAGGCCAGCCTGCGCTACGTACTGAGTTCAAGGCCAGGCTGAGCTACATGGTGAGTCCCTATCTCAAAGGAAAATTCTTTTACCTCACAGTTTGAATCTGCAGGTGCACAACCAGTGATATGGAGAGTCTCCTTATACAGTATGTTTTAACTCACTGACACCACTGTCCTATTGGGGTGGGTCCCATGACTATCGTCATTATACTGATAAGGAAACTGAGGCACAGAGAGACCCAGCAGGGACCAGAGCAAAGTCACAAAGCTGGGATACAGACCCAGGCCACCTGGCTCCAGGCCCCTGGCTCCAGGCCAGTGCTTAGCTCTCCCCTCCCCCACAGACGGACCCCTTCCTGGGAATGATGATGGGCCTGGGAGGCGGCATGGACTTTGACTCCAAGAAGGCCTACAGGTGAGGCTGGCCTGGGCTGGGCTGCAGCTGGAAGGGCGGGGGCCGGGTGCAGGGAGCTGGAGCTCTGACTCTCCTGTCCACACCGCAGGGATGTGGCCTGGCTGGGTGACTGTGACCAGGGCTGCCTGGCCCTCGCTGACCTCCTTGGATGGAAGGTGAGGAGCTGGGTGACCCCAGCGCACCCCGAGCCCAGCCCCTGGGCCCCACCCCTCCCCTCGGGTCTCTGGTAACCTCTGGCTTCTGCGAACTTTGCCCCTGCAGAAGGAGCTGGAGGACCTGGTTCGGAAGGAGCATGCCCACATAGACGCCCAGTCGGGGTCGAGCACTCCCAACCCCACCTCTACAGCCTCCCCAGGGAAGTCCCCACCTCCTGACAAGGCAGAGAAGCCCCAGTGAGAGCCCACCTCCCCGGCAGGACACCCATCTGCTCTGGGACAGCGGAGCCCCAACCCGCGCCAGCCCCCCCCAACCTGGAGCCCTCGTCCGAAGAGCTCAGTCCATCCCTGCAGGCTCTAACCACTCCCTCCTGACCTGCGGGAGAGCCCAGCAAGTCTCTAACATCCCCCAGGGGCCAAGGCCTGAGCGGCCTGTCTCTAACAGCCCCGGTCTCTAACCACCCCAGAGGTAAGAAGCAACCTCCCTTAATCTCTAACTACTCCCAGGGGCACCCCAAAACTCCCACCTCAGGACAGGGGGCCCCCTACTCTCTCTGCTGTTCCCAGGGGCCTGTGGCCAGGTAAACCAAATCTAACCTAGCCCAGCAGGGGTGTCGGCCCTCCAAGTACAACACCCCATGGGTGTGGGGAGCGTTCTGAGCCTGAAGGGCTCCCAAGGCTCTGCCACCAATGCCCAGGATGGGTGCTGGGCCCCTTTCCCCTGGGACCCACTTCCCACGCGGGGTGGGCAGAAGGCATTGCTTATTGGAGATAAATTAAAAATCAAAAACCAACTAACCCTCGGCTGTCTGGCTGTTCCTTCCTGGGGCATCTGAAGCAGCGGGAGGGAGGGGGTGAGGCCCGGGCCACCCAGAAGCAGACCATCTCCAGGCTCTTAGGAGCAACAGTGAGGGGTGCTGACAGGGGCCCCCACAGGTAGCTCGCAGAGCTGGGCTCCCTGCCGTCAGGCCTGGGCCCCGGAAAGAGGGAGGAAGGTCCCTTTCTGATGCCCCCAGCCCCGCCTCTTCCCCCTCCCTGCTCAGCTTCCTCTCTAGAGAACACTTTCACTTCCTGTTGCTCCGGCCTCCCCTTGGGACCAGGTAGGGCCCCCAGGGACCCAGCATCTGGCGTCTCCCCCCCAGCTGCCACCTTCTGGCGTGGGGCAGCTGTTCCCATCCAGCTCTGCCCAGCGCCACCCATGCCCTTCCCCTCTCATGGGCCGTGGGTGTGCACCTGCCTCCTCCGGGCCACCCCTCTTCCTGCTGTCCCCTGCTTTCCTCCTCCCAGCGCCCTGGGCGATGGGGCAGCGGGCTGATGTCTTTGTCTGGCAGGGCCCTATTGCAACCCCCTCAAAAAAAAAAAAAAAAAAAAAGCCAGGAATAAAGACCCTTAGAGCAAAGTCCCGTCCTGCTAGTCACTGTCCCAGGGTACTGGCACCTATTTGCGGGCCTATGCTCAGGAGTACTGGATGCATGGATGGGTTCATTCTCCCCAGACCCAGGGCTCCTACCGCTGAGACTGCTGGGGTGGCGCTGAGTGGCGCCCCCCGTGAGGGTCCCTCCAGGACTGTACCTGGCTCAGCATTAGGGCCTGATGGATGGGTAGGTGGACAGAGGAACAGACGGGCGAGGGAGCAAGCAGGAATTAGCTGCTCATGGCAGAATCCAGGCAGTGCATACAGATGTTTCCCAGGAAATTCTTTCAGCTTTCCTGTGCATTTGTAGGTTTTTATAAGACAAAGTTGAAAGAAAATATTCTGGTCACCCCCGTGCCGTGGCTGGGGAAGGGCATGTTGCCTGAGGTGGGCAGATGTACGTTGTGTCTCCTACGGACCAAGATTTTCCAGGCTCTGGATTTAGCAAGGGGCGTTACTGAGCTGGCCTACATTTGTATGGATGCCCCAGGCGTGAAAATCTTGGGGTGTTCCCAATCCCTTCGCAAATAGCTGCTGTTGTGAGTCCTTTCCCTAAGACACGCCAGCCTTTCTCCTGGGCTCCCCAGATTCCCCCAGTGCCAGCATCTGGAGAATGAAGCCCTGGCACAGCTGGGTTCCACCAGAGCCCATTCCATCACTCAGGGTCTCCCCACATTGGCTGTAAATATTCTGCTTTTAGCCCTGGACTGGGGCAGCCTTGACTCTTACCTTCCTCTCTGCCCGAGGCCAGACCATGGCTCACTGGCTTCCAGCACCCTGAAGATGGCCTGGCCAGGGGACGTGGCCCCTGCAGTCCCCAGCGAGAGGCAGAGGTGAGGGCTGCTGGGGCACAGCGTTCCACCTCCTGCCCCTGACCCAGAACCCTTTCCTACACCCCAGGACCCTGAGCCCCACCCCTGACGCTCTGTCCCTGGGCAGCCCCTTCTGCGCCTTTAGCCCTGGGTCCAACTGCCCCCTTCTGACCCCTAACCTCCTGCACCCTGCACGTCCCAGGCTGGTCCTACCACAGACTAATGGAGCAGGTGAGATCCCTCCAGGGGTCCTCAGCACCCCAGAGCCGCTTCTCCGCCTTCAGAGGACATGGGGGGTGTGGCAGGTCCCAGAGCTGGACGGCCGGGATGCAGAGGCTCTTATGGCCCAGTGGCCAATGGGGGTGAGTACTCGCAGCCAGGGACCGGTCCAGCCTCTCCCATGACACCTTGGGTCAGCCAGAAACAAGTGCTACTGGCAAAGACGGCACAAATTGGGCAACTCAAAAAAGCTACACATTGATTCAAATGACAGAAAAATGGAGAAGTAAAAGTAGTTTTAGGGAGGTCTGGATCCCAAGTGTCAAATATCTTATGGATTCCTCTTCATACCACTTCTTGGCTTTGCTTTCAAGAGTGGGGAACTCTGGATATTTGGGGCTACAAGGAACAAACGCCCATTCCACAGCGGCTTCAAGAACCAGGCATTGATCTTTCTAATGTAGCCAGAAAGACAGCTGCCAGCTCGACCTCAGCTGCTCAGTGACATCAAGGCCAGCTGCTCCACAATTCCCGGGACTTCCCCCATGGTGACCTAGGGGCTGTCCCTGGGCTATCACATGCACACCCCAGGCAGGAAGCAAGGACACATCAGCTGTATCTGTTTCTTTGACCAGGAAAAGCCTAGTTTGTGCCAATTGATACAGAATACATGGCCAGGACCCCCCCCCCTTTTTTTTTTTTTTTTTTTTTTTTTTTTTTTTTCTTCTTGAGACAGGGTCTTGCTATGCAGTTCAGGCTGGCCTCGAACTCACAGCAATCCTCCTGCCTCAGCCTCCTGAGTGCTGGGATTATAGGTGTACTCCACCAAGCCTGGCAAGCACATTAATCCTTGAACCAGGACTTCCACAAGGACCCTGGGATCGGTTTGGAAAGAACAACTAACAGGGGTTACCATGGCTTCCTCCTCAGGAGGGCACTGGCCCTGTCAGAGCATAATGACTGTCCCCAGCTCGGGGCTCCCTCCCACCAGCTTAGCAACCCCAGTGTGAAAAGAGGCTGTTTGGGGCGGGAATATAGCTCACTGGTAGTGTCCTTGCCTTGGTGTGTACAAGGCCCTGTCCAACCTAGCACTGCCAACAGAAAGAAAAGCTGGCCAAGGTGTGCAGGGCGTCCCAGTGCCAGCTCAGGCATGGGCCCACCCCCTAGGCTTGGGAACCTCAGTCCCACCCCATGGACTGAGTGCAGGGGGGTTCCTAACAGGAAATGGGTGCCAGGCAGGCAAAAATAAACATGTGTGCACCACCCTCAAACTGACCTTTACCTCCACCCCCTAGAGCTTCCTGGTCACAGGCCCTGACTCCAGCCAGGCCCTGGTATTGAGGACTTCACCTGGAGAAATCAACACCTATCAAATCCAGAAGTTTCCTGGAGGTGAGGCCCCAACTCTAGGCTTCCACAGCAAACATATCACCAAGAACTGTCAGCTTTACTTCCAAAATACCTCTTGGTTGTTCCTTTTTTTCTTTTCTTTTTTGACACAGGGTCTCACTATATAGTCCAGGCTGGTCTGGAAATCACAGCAATCCTCCCGCCTCAGCCTCCCAAGTGCTAGGATTACAGGCTTGCCCCACCACACCTGACTCTTCCTTTTTTTCTTGCACAGCAACCAGGTGGTGGTGTACACCTGCCCCAAACCCTGCAAAGGACAGGCCACCTCCTTAGATGCAAATTCAAGCTCAGCGCAGCCTAGGAGATGCTGTGTGGCCTGGCCCTGCCCACCTCTTCATCCCCTGCCCCTCATTCCCTCTGCCCCAGTACAAGTTCTCCTCTGTTCCCAGAGCCTGCTATGTGCGGGCCAGCTGCAGGGCCTTGGCTTCTGTTTTCCCTGCAGGAACCCTCTCCCTGGGGTGGCTGATTTAGTCTCCACACTTGGAACCGCTACAGAAATGTAACCCTCCTTGACCGCCACTGTTCAGATAGCCTCTAGTCGTTTGTATTCATTTCTTTACATTAGGAGCACTGTACACAATATACATATATCTATTTCTTTACTCATCTATTTGGGTCTCCCCTGACTAAAAGGGAAAGGTAGAAGGGCAGTGACTTTGCCTCCTGTTGGACAATTATATCCTCAAATGTGTAGTAATAATTAGGTGTTCAATAAATACTTGTTTTAACTGAGTGTGGTGCTGCCTGCTTGTAATCTCAGCACACTGGGAGGCTGAGGCAGAAGGATTCCAAGTTAGAATCCAGACTGGGCAATTTGGTGACTTAAAGAGATCCTGTCTCAAAAAAAAAAAAAAAAAAAAAAAGCTAGGGATATAGCTCAGTGTAGAGGCCCTAAGTTCAATCCCCGGGACCTGAATGAATGAATGAATGAATGAATGAATGAATGAATGAATGAATACATAAATATCTAATGAATAAATCCTATCTGGTGGCATAAGTGGGATCAAACAATCAAGATGAGGAAGAGATGAGGACTCCGAGGGGATGAAAACTTCTGTTGTGAAGGTCCCTGCAGGGATTTCCGGGATGGGGGAAGAGAGAGCCCCGTGGCGGGGAAGCCTGGCACCCCTCAAGCTTTCTTTCTCACCCCTCCTTGCCTCCTCACCCCAGGTGTATCCTTGGAATCCTCCAATCTCTGCATGCCAGATCTGCCCCATCTTCTGGCCTTCCTGTCAGCCAGCAGGTACAGGTTTCCCATCCACAGGATGAGGAGGACCCTTCCCCAGGACGCCCATCCGCAGCACGGGTCCCCTTCTCTCTCCTTAGGGACGTTCTGCCCAGAACACTGCTCTTGCCGCCTCCCGCTCTAACGCCTGGAGACAAACACACGGGTGAGACACGGCTCCTGAAGGAAAGGTTCCCCAAGGCCTGGCACTGAGATTGCACGCGAGGGGCCTGACTACTGGATTTGCAGGAAGGCAGAGCTGGGGGTCAGCGGGGAGGAGGGGACGGGAGCCTGGACTCCTCGGTCCTTAGAGAGGGATGGGACGGGACTCCGCTGGGCCTGAGTGAGGAAGGTTGGGAACCGAGTCACCTGGCAGCCTGAAGACACCAGGACTGGCCCTCAGTCACCTGGGACACCCTCTGCCTTCTGCCGGCCCCCAGATCCTCTGCAGGTCGGCCAGGCCCAAGCTGACACCTCTAGGAGGGTGCTGTCTGTGGTGAACCAGCTCTACCTGGACACCCACGGAAGCTGGGGGCTGGAGCTAACCCCCGAGGAGACTGCCCAGGGCCACAGTCCAGGTGAGCAGGCGCGCGTGGGCCCCTGAGGGACGAGGGCCGCTGCTCCACGGCACCCAGGCCCTCCCCGTCGTGCAGCCCGCAGGAACCCCGGCCCGCACCGGGTCTCCTGGGTGGAAGACCCGCCTAGCGCGCAAGTGCACCAGCCTCGGCGAGCTCTGGCCAGTCTGGCGGAGGAGCAGAGGCAGGAGAACAAGGACAACTACAGAGACGAAGAGGAAGACGCGGAGGATGAGCTCACTGCTCACATCCGCGCTCTGGCCAGGGCGCGGAGCAGCTACGTGGCCAGGCAGTGCCGGGCCCTCCGGGCGCGCCTCGCCTCAGACGTCAGGGGTCCCAGCGGGCCCGGGGACCCGGCCACCGAGCTGCTGCAGGATGTGCGGCACCTCCTTACTGACCTCCAGGATTACTTGGCCAAGGACCCCGACGTGAGATCCGTCTTTGGGAGCAGGGCGCCTGGGGCCCCCCACAAGGACAAGGATCTTGGTAATGGGGGAGACTAGAAGGGAACCCCCGCCTAGGTGCGCTGCCGCTCCGCCCCGCGCCGGTGTTCACCGCCGGGTCCCCCGTCCCCGCTGGCGCGCCCTTTCCACCTTAGAGCCCCGCCCGCCCGCCTCGCGCTCCTCTCGCGCGCGCTTTGACCGCAGCACCTTGAACCCCGCGCGCGCGTTGGCGCTTCTGTCTACGCTGGGGGTCCGGGCCGGGTCAGCTCGGCGGCCGCGCTCACCGCGCTGCACCCTGCACCCCGCACCCCGCAGGCCCTGCGGTGGAGGCGGCCGTGTACCGCGCGGTACTCGCGCCCCTCAAGCCGACCCTGTGGACACAACTGCGCACGCTCCGCGCCCAGGAACTGCGCCGACTGCGGCGGCGACAAATAGCCCTGCGGGCGGGGGCGGGGCCTGAGGGACAGAGCCCCGCCCCCGCCCTGCGGAGCCGCATCCACGCGCGCCTCGCCCACCTGCACGCTGCGTGCTCCCCGCGCCGCAAGGTGGCGCTGCTGCTGGCTGCGTGCGGCGACGTCTACGCGGGCCTGGCGGGAGGCGAGAACCAGGGTAAAGCGGGGTGGGCGCGGGCCGGGCTGTGGAGTGGCCGTGGTAGCGGGCTCCTATGCGCGCGTGGCGTCCAGGGAGAGGGGAGCTCGCGCTGGTGGCAGGTGGCGGCGGGGACCTGGGAACCAGATGGCGGTGACTGTGCACCCCAGCCACCTCGGGACCTGACCTCCGGCTTCCCCAGAGCCCCTGGGGGCCGACGCCTTCCTGCCTGCGCTGACCGAGGAGCTGATCTGGAGTCCGCACATCGGGGAGACGCAGCTGGACGTGGAGTTTCTTATGGAGCTCTTGGATCCAGAGGAGCTTCAGGGAGAGGGTGAGGCGGCACTTCCACTGGGGCAGCTGGAGGACAGGCGAGCAAGCCGCAGGGTATGCCGAGTGACCATGGACTCCCCTTCTCACCCTAGCCGGGTACTACCTGACCACGTGGTTCGGGGCGCTGCACCACATTGCCCACTACCAGCCCGACGCGGGCCGCGCGCCCCGGGGGCTCAGCTCGGAAGCCAGCGCCTCCCTGCGCCAGTGGCACCGCCGGCGGACGCTGCACGGACAGAACCGGCCCGGAGCCCAGGTGACGGCCCGCCTGGGCTGCAGGTGGCAGGGAGGATGGGACCTGTCACCCTCTGACCCAGCCTTCCACCTCCTTCCACAGGCCCAGCTGCCTTTTGAGGAGCCGTGGGCAGTAGGGACGGTGAGGAGCCCCGTTGATCATTAGGGGTCTCAGTCCCTCTGTTCCTCAAGCAGAGGTGGGAAGCAGCTGGGACGACGACATGTGGCTTAGGGGAAGCAAGGAGGAGGGGGCCCAGGAAAAGGGTCCTTTGCCCTGACTATCTGCTGCCAGGCATGTCCTTCCCAATATCCACAGTGCGCCTTGGCGGCCTGTCAGGTCCTGGTGCAGATGTGACCTCAGTGAAGTTCTCCCAGCCACCCCTATCTAAAATGCAACCACTCCCACCTGGCCGTCCCCTTAGTAGGAGAATCATGCGCCCCCAAAGATGTCCACATCATCATCATCATCATAATCTGCGGGAATGGGGGCTTTACAGGGGCGATGACATTAAGGACTAAGAGGAGGTTACCCTGGATTCTGGTGGCCCTGTGCAGTCACAAGGGTCCTTATAAGAGGCAAGAGGGTCAGGGCCGGAGAAAAAGGATCGATGTGGCCAAGAACCCAGAGAAGATGCAGACATTCTAGAAGCTGAAAAAGGCAAGAAATGGATTCCCTCCAAACCTGCAGGAGGAAGCACGTACCTTTGATGTTAGGCACCTAGTACCCATTTTGGACTTCTGACCTCCAAAGTTGCAAGATAATAAAATCATGGTTTTTAAACCACTAAGATTGTGGCAATTCATTAGTGTTTATTTACTTATTTATTTTCTTTTTGAGACAGGTTTTCACTATGCAGTTCAGGCTGACCTTGAACTTGCTTTGTAGCCCAAGCTGCCCTTGAACTCCCAGCAATCCTCCTGCCTCAGCTTCACTAATGCTGGGATATCAGGCGTGTACCACCACACCCGGCCAGACAGTTAATTACAGTAGTGATAAAACAAATATTCTCCTTTAATTTGTTTCTAAAATGTAACATGTAATATATTTGTTGTGTTAATTGTCTACAGTCCTCTCTTCTGCTTAGGATGGCACTTTCCAATAAAAATGCAGTGCAAGCTACATATATAATTCTAAATGTTTGGGTTTTTTTTTCTTTTTCTTCTTCTTTTTTTTTTTTTTTTTTTGGTACCAGGAATCAAACTCAAGACCTTGAGCTTGCCAGGCAGGTACTTGTGCCACTGAGCTATATCCCCGGCTCTAAATGCTTTAGAAACGGCATTGAAAAAAAAAAATCTAAAAAGCAGACTGGGGTGTAGCTCAGTGGAAAAGTGCTTGCTTAGCATATTGAGTACCATGCCTAGTGTGTGCACACACACACATACACACACATACACAAAGAAGCTTTGAAATTAAGTTTAATATTTTATTTTATTTAACTCAATATATCCCACATATATCACTTGCACATATAATCAATATTTTTAAATTGTTGCGCTAATTCAACACGCATTTAGATGCATGTGCTAAGTCTTTGAAAACCAATGTGGGGTCGGGGATATAGCTCAGCACACAAGTACTTGCCTGGCAAGCGCAAGGTCCTGAGTTTGATTCCTGGTACCAAAAAAAAAAGAAACTCAATTATTCAGAAGCCAGTGTGTAACCTACACTTCACCACATGTCAGTTTTGAACTGACCGCCTTTTAGGTGCTCTATTTATTATTTTAAGATAGGGCCTCTCTAAGTTGCCAAGTAGCCCAGGCTGGCCTTGAACTTGCGTTGCAGTTTTTTTTGTTTTTTGTTTTGGTACCGGGAATCGACCTCACAAGCTCGGACTTGCAGACACTCGGGCCACTGAGCTATATCCCCAGCTCCTAGGCCTTTAAACTTGTGATCCTCCTGCCTCAGCTTCCCAAAGCACTGGGGTTACAGGTGCGTGCCACTGTGCCCAGTTCAATAAACATTTCATGAATTATCCTTCGAGCAAGGTTTCTGTAGTAGGTGAAAAATGTCCTCCCAAAGGATACTCAGGTCCTAGTCTCTGCCACTCATGAATGTTACGTTATTTAGAGATAGTGTCTTCCTAGCTCTTAAGGATCTTATTTGTCTTTTTTTTTTTTTTTTTTTTTGGAGACAGCATCTCACTGTGCAGTTCTGGCTGTCCTTGAGCTCACTTTGTAGCCCAGGCTGGTCTCAAACTCACAATGATCCTCCTGCCTCAGCTTCCCAAGTGCGGGGTGCTGGTATTACAGGCGTGCACCACCACGCCTGGCTTTGTTAAGGATCTTAAAAAGGGGGAGCTTAGCCAGGCTTGTCCATGGTGGCCCCAAATGCAGTGACGTAAGAGGGAGGTGGAGGGAGATGACGCAAACAAGAAGGGGACACGAAGATGGAACAGAAATGTTCAGAGATGCTCTTTAAAGACTGAAATGATCCAGCCACGAGCCACGATGCCAGCAGCCCCTGGAGCTGGAGGGCAGGGGATGGATCCTGGATTCGACTCTGGAGCCTCCGGAGAGAGCCCTGCCCTGCCAGCACCTTGATTTCTGGCTCACACATGCTGATTTCCGGGTTCTGGCCCCTAGAACTGTGAGAGAATAAATTTATATTCTTAAGCCACCAAAATTGTATTCATCTGTCCCAGCAGCCACTGGAAACTAATAGTTTCTCAGCTGTTAATATACAGAAAAAGTCAAATTAGTCATTTTTTAGCAACAAGGGTCCTTGATTGATAGATACAGGAATTAACTAGAAAAACAGGGAAAACTCACCCAGCTCACCTCACCTAGTGCATTGCTGTTGAAAGACATTTTAAACTGGGTGT